CTCGGCTGTAAAAAAGAAAATTTTACCCTTTGCAACAGTATGGATGGACCTGGTGAACATTATGCTAAGTCAAATAAGCCAGTCAGAGAAAGACAAGTACCACATGATTTCACTCACATGTGGAATCTAATGAACTGAACTAACTAGCAAATCAGAGACAGACTCACAAATGGAGAGCAGAAGACAGCTAGTGGGGGTGGAGGGAAGTGAGGGAGGGCGGGACTGAGTAAAAAGGAAAAAGGACTCACGGATATGGACTACGGTGTGGTGATTGCTGGGGGAAGGAGGATAAAAGGAGTTTAAATGGTAATGGAAAAAAATAACATGAAGATTAAATTTAAAAAAATAAGGTTTGTAATGTACAGTATGGTGACTGTAATTAATAATACTGGATTGTATATTTGAGAGCTGTGAAGCAAATAAGTCCTAAAACTTCTCATCACACAAAAAATTTTTTAACTATATGTGGCAATAGATGTTAACTAAATTTATTGTGATCATTTGTCAATATATAAAAATATTGAACATTGAACCATTATGTTGTACACTTGAAACAAATGTCAAATATATCTTAAGAGTATAAATAAATAAAAAATAAGATACTGGATGCAAATGCAGCGACTTTAGAATTTGGGATTATTTTAAATATAAGTATCATCATCTAGGAAAAATAAGTCTAGTCATTCGAGTCATGCTCTTCTATATGGGTTTGTATTTACACCAGGCCTCTACCTTTCTCATTAAATTTATTCTAAGGGATTTTATAAACTTTGTCACTATGTAAGGAAAACTTTTAATATGTTAATATGTTGCTTTGAATGTTAACTGGATATTGCCAACTTGGAGAAAATCTTTTGATTTGTGTGTATCTATCACGTAACCAGCCAAATATCTGTTGTGGTAAATTACATTGAGTTTGTATTATTAAAGCAACCTTGCATTCCAGAGATAAACTCAAGTTAGTAATGATGCATAATCTTTTTTACACAATGCAAACTTATTTAGCTTAGGTTATTAGCAACTGTAGAATATTTCCATGACAGTCTTGAATGAGATTGGACTATCATTTCCCTTTCCTATTCCTATTTTCTTTGTCTTGATATCAAGATTATGTTAAAAATAGAAAATGTTCTCTCAACAAGCTTCTTGAATTTAGAAAGCTATCCGTAGTATGTCCAGATGCAGATCATACCTATTTATTTGCTCTCTTTCTCTTCCTCAACATTGAGGTGTTTGTCAATGCTACTGGCTTCCCAAAGAACTAAATAAAACAGTAAATTACTATGAAGTGAACAACTGTATAACACACAGGCTAAGCAATAGAACGCTGCCAGCAACACCTTAGTTGCCATGTGCCCCTCCCTCATTTTCACCCATGAAGGTTACACAATACTATATTGGTTTTTAGGGAAATCATTTTCTTGCTTTTCTTTATAAACTTTTGCTAGGTAAGTCTGCAACCCTATAGAGTTATCACTTTACCAATTTTTAAATTTTAAGCAAAATCATATAGTGGTTATTCTTATACTTGCTTTTTTTAATTCAGTGATTATCCAGGTCATTGCACATTCATTGGACTTCATTTACTTCGTTCATTTGCATGACGAAAACACAGTATATTATCTAATGTTAATATAAATTTCTGATTTTTAAGTTTTAGCCTATTATGTGTAATACAGCTATAAACATTATTTTACATGGACCATGATATTTATATGCTTACCTATCTCTGGAATAAATATCTAGGATTGGCATTGTCAGGTTTAAAGGCATGCAAATCTTAAACCTCACTGGTTAATGCCCAACTGTTTTGTAAATCGTTACAGAATTTACAGTCCTGCAAACAGTGGAAAGACCTTTCTGTTCCCATCTGTACTAAGACAATATGTGCATGTGCAATGAACGGTATCTTATTTGTACTTTCTGCATTATGAATGAGGACTTTTTTTTTTAAGTAGTTCATTTTTATTGTACTTTTTCCACAATTTATCCTCCCTAAACCCTCCTTCCACCTCCACCCACCCCTTCACCCCCACCACCAAAATCACTAACGTTGTGTGTCCATGAGTTCTTTCTGCTCAATACATCCACCCTCCCAAACTGCTTCCCACTTCTGTCAGCCTGCTCTCTATCAATGAGTCTGTCTCTTATTTTGCTTATTAGCTTAGTTTGTTCATTAGATTCCACATATGCATGAAATCAGGTGACACTTGTCTTTCTCTGGCTTATTTCACTTAACATAAAGTTCGCCAGGTCCATCCATGCTGTCACAAAAGGTAAAATATTTTCTTCTTTACATTTACACAATGGAATACTACTTGGCTTTAAAAAAAAAAAAAAAACAGTATGAGAACATTTCTTGTGTATTAGCCATTTGGATTTTCTCACCTGTGAAATGCCTGGCTTTTTTTGTTTTGTTTTATTAGATCTTTTTAGACAGAGGGGAAAGAAGGGAGAGGGAGAAACACGAATGTGTGGTTGCCTCTCACGTACCCCCCTATTGGGGACCTGGCCTGCAACCTAGGAATGTGCCCTGACTGGGAGTCAAACTGGTGATGTTTTGGTTCGCAGGCTAGCACTCAATCTACTGCACCATACCAGCCAGGGCGAAATGCCTATTTTTCTATAGGGATGTTTGATTATTCTGATTTTTTAGTTCTTTTTGTATTCTGGATATCAGTCCTTCTCAGTAACATATATTGCAAACACGTATTCTGTGACTTCCACTCTTACTTTCTTTTCAAAATTAGTAGTTCTTAATTTTAATGTAGATTTATCAGTCTTTTCCACTATAATGATCTTAAATGTGTTAACATGTTTAAGCAATCTTTTCCAACCCAACAGATTAGGATAACCTACTATATTATCTAGTAAAATCTTTATAGTTTTACCTTTCAGATTTAGCTCTAAAATTCCCTTGGAACTCTTTTTATAGAGTATAAAGAAGAAATTAAGTTTCCTTTCTCTTCTTTTTTTAAAAATAAAGATACCCACTTTTCTCAGAACCATTTACTGAGCAGACTCTTTTCCTACCATTTTAAGTGTCACTTTTATCTGTTGGTGGGTTTCCAATTGTGATCCATTCCTTCTCTTCAGTACACCAAGAGTTCTAATATCTCATTGTCTTGATTTCTACAGCTTTATAATTAACCTCGTTTCTCAGAGAGGAAGTCCTTGTATTTCTTCAACTGTTTGGTTATTTTTAACCCTTTGTATTTCCATATAAATTCTGGGAATAATTTATCATGTTACATACACACACACACATACACCCCTGTCAGTATTTTGACTGGCTTTGTTTGAATTTATAGTTTAATTTGGGTAAACTTATTTTTCAATACCAAAGTATCCTTAAGTACTTCAATAATTTTTATGCTAATGTAACATATAACTTAAAAAAAAAAGTACTTTCAACCTATTTATGGCCAATATGCAATTGATATTTGTATATTGGTTTTTGTATCAGACTTGAATGACTATCTGTGTACATCCAATAATGTTTCTAATATCATGCCTTTTGTCTATTTGTCTCTCTTGAAACCCCACACTTTTGGAGAGAATCACAGCTCCATTCCCAACAAAATGATAAAAACAGTATCACTTCTAATAGAAAAATGCATACATAAACATAATTTTATATAACTATCATAGAATTCACTATTCCCATTCTGCAAAGTTGATTCCAGATTAAAAAATCCTATCCTACACATAATAATGCTTAAAAATATTAATGGAGGAAGGAAAAAGCAAATAAATATGCAAGCATATACACAACAGAGCAGAGGTTAATGCAGGTGCTCATACTGGTCTATGAAAATTTGTCTAAAGAAACTGTAAAACAGGAAACATAAAATAACCTTGGGTTTTAAGTATTTATTTACAAAGTTCTTACTAATACAACTGCTTTTAAAATATAGTAATGAAGGATCATATACAATTTAAAAGTGGCAAATATGTGGTACAGAAAAAAATCTATAAAGTCAGTTAAAGTATTAAAGAAAATAACTGAGAATTGTTAAATGACAATGAAATGTTTGTAGTGCTCCCTAAACAGAGAGGTAATAAAAATGCATTTATTCATGAGAACTTGATTATCTTGTATTACTGATTATAAAAAAAAAAATTGTGAAAAATAACATCAAAGCTTGAAAAATATTTTACAACAACAAATAAATGTATTTCAATTTTACATTTAGTTATGGAACCACAATAAAAAGTTGACCATACACATACCTATGTATTTATAACAGGTTAGTAAAACTGATGCCAACTTTTAGGGTTATTTTGTAAAGAGTACAAACAGTCTTTACCACAATTTCCGTGCGGTCATTCTTCAAAATAAAATTCCACACATCATCAAACTAAATCAAGATTTACTAGTGGCTAAAAATTACCATAAATATATATGTCTCTGAAATAGCTACAAGTATACACCAATATCATGTCTGTGCAAAATATACATTATTTTTTAATCTCTCAGTCCTTATCTCAATTTGCAAAAGTATTTTGAAACAATCTCCTTTAACTGCTATTCTTTTTAATAAGGGAAAATCTTTCTAAATCCACACACTAGATATTAAAAAATACTTGAGAATAAAACAAAACTGCAAAAGCAGCAATTATGTAAGTTTTCAAACAGCACGTGTGAAACAAGACCCCACTATTTAGTCAGATATCTGGTTTTTCTCTAGTTAAGTACTGTGATATCACTTAATTCTGCACAAATTGAGATACAGAAGTTTGTATTTCCAAAATTCATTCATGAACAGTATATAAAGAATTAGCAACAATATTTGGCATAGACCAATAAAATTTATTTACTGTATGTATTAGGTTGCAAAGTTACCAGTATCATGAATAACTTAAGATACTGGCCTTCAAATGAAGTATTTGAGCAAAGAGAAAAATTACATCAAAATCAATAAAAATTTTTAATAAATTAACTTGAAAAGTGTAAGAGGTTAACCTTATTCTCTCAAGAAGAAAATCAAATGGCATAGTTTAGTGTTATCTCCTTTACAGCTTTCACCAAGTGCTAATTAAAAGTACCATTTAAGTAAGTTTCTTATTTGCATATGAGGTGTTAAGTGTCTGTAAGTAAAGATTTTTGAAGCTTCATATCAAATGAGTTGTAGATCTACTTAAAGCATAACTTCTCCTTTCAAAGAAGGAAGGAAGGCTGACAAGTGAGGGAGATGGGATACCCTGTAAAGACAAGACAAATATTTTATATTAAAAAATTTTCTTTTAAAAAATTATAACATACAGTTTAGCATCATGCATATCATTTTTACATTCTGCAAAATACCATAACAATTAATTAAAAGACATCTGAAAATCCTAAACTCTTTAAACAAATAAATGTAAAATTGGAGGGGGGAGAAACATAATTAAAAGTATTTCATCATTCTGAAAACCAAAAACAAATGGATATACTGGTTAACTACATATCAATTCAATGGAATAGATATTGGCTTACTGGTAGTAGTGGTGCTTAACTTATATACGATATAAATGATTCAGTTTTTCAGGTTATTAAAAAGTTGTAAATCAGTAAACAACTTTTGAGGCAAAAAGACAAACCCTAGTGGTTTCTTCTAAACTTAATCATAAAGGGGAATTAAGAAGAGAAATTACTTCGTGAGGAATAATTTTCTAAAGTAAAAAGTCGTTCACTCCTAAATAAGTTTCATATTATGTGTGCAACCCATATGTATGTATTGTATTTGTGTGTATAATTTTGTCCCATATAAAAACTGAGCAAAACATAAGCACTTTTGATGACTGCAATTAGGTTACTAAACTGTCTAAATTTGTTGTTTCAGAGGTTAAAGTTAAATATCATCAGAATTTTTAACAGTGAAAAGCAGCATACACAAGAATACCAAAAATTCAACAGTGGGTGTAAATCAAAATGAATTACAAAGAAAGTTACTGTTTTATTTTCACATATATAAAAGGCTAAGTGTAACTAAAACTTAGAACAAACAAGGTAGTAAAATGAAGTGTTTAAAGAGCTGTGTTGAAAAAGTATTACCATTCAAAACAATGATTTAAGTAAAAAGTATAAAAGTTTATTTTCCTCAAGTAAGATGTTTTATGATTTGCTATATTAAAAGCATAAATTTTATAAAATGCCATAAATCTAAGATTAAGAATCAGATTTGGAATATGAATCCACTTTACAGGGCAATTATTACTATTGCTTAAAATGACCACTTTTATAAATAAGAAAATTTCTAGTAGTACTGATTTTTTTCTGGACTTGAGCATAAATTACCTTCAAAAATATTTTTATGTGCCAAAATGCAAAGAAACTCTATTAAGCCTAGTTGTTGTGAATTCAAAGCAGTTATGAAGTTGTGAATTCAAAAGTCCCACCCACTTAAAAAGTAATTTAGTGGAAAAAGAATATTTTTTTCACAAATACAAATTTCAAATAGCTAATAAGCTCACATTTAAACTTCATGAGGCTTGTTTCCATTACTGGTTGACATATCTCCTAATTCTTCACAAATATCAAAGATGACTTGAATAGAACTTTTTTGGAAATTTGAAAAACCAGTATTTCCTTTTAGTGTCTCTGACAAACTAGCTCGTGAGGCAGAATGACGTATAAGTGGAAACCAGAAGTTTTGAGAGCGCCCACCAGTAGAGTTTGAGCGCTGAGCATAGACATGCTTAGTAAATCCAATTTTATTGCTTGTGGAAACTGAACGGATAATCTGTTAGAACAGAAATAAGCATTGGAAAAGAGGACATAAATGTCTAAAAGATATTTTAGATACTTCTTATTTATATTGTCTACATAAAAGTGACAAAACCATAAATACAAATTAACTTTCTAAAAATATCCTATAAAAGCCAATTACCTTCATTTGAAAAGCAATGTTTATAGTAGTTACTTATAGATGCAGGAAATATACAAGAGATGGTTCTTTGACCTTCAGAAAGCTTATAGTCTGATTTTAATACAGAAATTCCTACTGCATTTTGTCAATTTTAATATTTTTCATTGATCAAATTTCTTTGCATATATTTATATTATCAGCTAAGTACAACTTTTCTCCTGTTGGAAGGTTAACCTTGACCAAGTATCTATATAAACATGCTCGATATTGCTGTAACTCTTTGATGTATTAACTCAAGACTTAACTAGCTTTAAAAAAGTAAGTTATTAAACATGGCATGCCTTATCTAAATTTTACAGAACAGGTAACCACTTACAAAACACTACAGTAGCCAGGGTGGGGACTATCCACCATAACCCTCCCAGTTAGGAATTTGTGATTTATTACAACACGCCTTTTTCATCCACAAGATCCAATGTGAACAGTTCAAGGACATTGGTGGTGCAAGGAACAGCCCTGTGCAAAAGCCTCTGGGTGGAGTGAGCTTAGCATTTTCTAAGGAAAGCAAGAAAGCCAGGATGGCCGGAACTGGGTAGGGGGAGAGGACATGAGTGGGAGGAAACTGAAGAGGAGGGAGGGCAGGGCAGAGGTGCGGGGGTGGGGGGTGGGACAGAGAACGTTGCTTCGGAGGGGCTTGACAGTCTGAGGGTGGAGGAAGACTAATGAGGGTTTAGCTGGGAACAGGGGTTCTCCCTGGAAGCCAAGGGGAGTGTGAATGGGAGGATGAAAGAGGATGGGGACAGGAGCAAAAAAAAAAAATAAAGAAAAGAAAACCACTAGAGCACACACTGCATGCTAAGGGCTGTCCAAAGGACTTTGTACAAACTAACATATAATCTTTACAACTACTACTTCAGATTCATTTTACAGATAATGAAACTGAAAATTCCCAACAGCCTTCCAGTTAGTAAATAGCTGAGCTAGGAATGAACACATGAGTTCTAGTGTTCGTATCCTTAGCCACTACTCAAATGGCCTCACTATATAATTACATCAATATGGACGTGAGTGTGTGTATTTGGTCCTTACATTAAGAGAGGGTAAGTACTTTTAATCTGTCTTCCCTCATTGGCAGAATGGTTTTAAGGGAATAAGAAACTTGCTAAAAGGACATATGACAGTCACTTGTAGGTTAGGTTATTAATTTTACAAAAATACATCACTCATAGACTTAGTGACAGTAACAAATGTTAGAAATGTCCTTAATATTAATTGTCTAATAATATTGACACCATAGGAAATTTGGATTTTTCAGAAAACATTTAAAAATATAAATATAAATTTGGAAACTAAATCATCCTTAGACATCCACAGTTTCAGAGATTATATTCTACTCATCACAGAAATAGTAAAAGGAATAAAACTCAGTCTCTGTTATACAAGTATGGACAAAAGTAGTTTTACAGTTGTTCATATGGAAAATAATACCATACTTAAGAAATTATAAGAATAAACTGTTGTGTGAACTCATAACTATAAACCTACTTTTGCCCACCCCTGCATTATTGGAAAAAATGTGTATAAACAGAACCAATGCTTCTTATTATAGTAAAGCAATAGGCCAGATTGAAACGTTTTTTCTTTAGAGATTTTAGAACATATCTCAATCCAAATAAAATTTCTTATCAAATACACTACATTTAAAGTATGTCCTTATCTCTATTTCATTGAGTGAGGTTTTCTCAGTTACCTTTACCCAATAAAAGATGTTAGAAGAGATACAGTAAAAAATGATGGAGATATTAGATTTCCATCTTTAAAAGTTAGAAAATTCCCTATTTACTCCATAAAATAGAGTAAGTCATTTAGCCCATTTAATCAAAGTCACTTACTGCTAATGACGATGTGCTAGACAGGCGACTCAGTGCACGCTTGTCACCACTGTGAGGACTTCTTCCCTCCACTGAACTTTGGGATGGCATAAGAGTCCTTCGAAGAGCTCTTTTTGGAGTTTTGGAGAAAGAGAATGCTCTTGTAACCTAGAGTTAAAAAACAGTTATAATTAAGCCTATATAAATTTAACATAACTTATAAGAACAATTATAACAAAGCCAAATAACATCCAAAGTTTTTGTCCATATAGTACATAACAGAATGAGAATCTCTTCGAACAAAGCACTGAGCAAATGTTGAACGGTGAAGTCCTCACTCAGCATCATGGTCATAAACAGGTTCTTTGACATCACATGAAAGGACACACAGTGAAACCAAATTTACTGATATAAACAATTAAGTCCCTATACCGTGTCATCAACATTATAATCAAATGACGTTGAACATTATTCAAAAGCCTGCTGTCCACTTGCATTCATAGAGCGCTAGAGTCAAATGTGTAAAAGAAGGGACAAGCATAAACATGACATGGGAGAGAAGAAATTTAGGGTTTTTTTGTCTGATTCCGCTAAAATTTAGTTGTGATCTTTAATCCAAAGCCATTGGAACCTTGATTTCTTTACTGAAAAAGTGAAGGAGTTCATTTGTCTCATCATTTAACATGTTTAACTAGTATATATCATACAGGTTAATTGCTGGGAAATACAAAGATGATTAAGTACAAGGCTTTCCCTCAAAAGCAAAAACAAAAAAAATTTGTAAATCCAGCAATAGACTTTAGCTGAAATTTCAACCTGGACAATTAAAATTCTAGTTCTGCTATTAAAAAGCCCTATTATCAACATTCTTACACAGTCTTCAGCAACCCTGATAAGGTAAACAGGGAAGTTATCTTCATTACAAGACTGAAACACACTATGGTCAGGAATAGATCCCATGTCTTCTGTCAATTGCCCTTTGCTGAACAATATCTGAAGCAATATTTAAGATGAATGCACACATATCTCTATCTAAAACACCATCAGTACATTTCTATTGAAGTGGAGTTCACAGAAGTATCACTATAACAAAAATAGGAAGGATAACGGGTTGTTACAGTTACTGTGCCAAAGAATTCACAAAACTAAAACTATCATCTCTGTGCGCCATGCCTATCCCAAAACTAACACTACTTTAGACTACCTTTACACTGGTGTTTATGGCAATGTTATTTTAATATACTCTGAAAAATACTGTTTGGGAACATGTTTAAAAATAATGCCACTAGGGCTTACCTTTTTTGAAGTCTTTCTTATTGCTCTAGATGCTCTACTCAATGTACTATCCATATCTTTTGTATTTATTTCAAAGGTTTCTGGATCAGCAATGTAAATAAGATTCTCCTGTTGAAAAATAAACATTTTTCTTATTTTAAAATAAAATTTAAAAAATACACTATTGTTTTTAAAGACCAAACCTTTAAGCACTTATCTACATAGGGGAGTATATGTAAATGAAACTATTCAGTATTTTGTATGTGTTTGACATAATTTCTATTCTAAAATGTACTAATTTAAGATAGTAGAAAATAAACACTCAGTAAATAAAAAATTAATTACAAGGACAACAGACATGAATGCAACTCAAAAAGAAAACTTAATATAAAATCTTACTAACAAACCTAAAACTAACAAGTTAGAAAATTAGCATAATTTATATGGTTAAAAATAACGTCTGCAACAAAACCAATATCACAAACAATTTCCTTGAGTAAAATCTGAAATTTAAATTTACACTTTTTCCTTTCCTACTTTTTCCTTTCACCCTCTATTAACATCTAGAGGAATTCTAAATTGGAGGTTCTGCAGGTGTGATCAAGAGTTTCTAGAATTGGCAATGCATGGAAATCAGGAGGTATACAACCCCCTGATATTATGTGCAAAATTCTGTGTGTACATAAGTGCAAAGGATGTTATTCTGAGGAGGAGGTTTATATTTTAAATCACATTCTGAAAGGAGCCAAAGAGTTCATGAAGAACCGGTAACTAAAATTAACCTTAAGTGAAACAAACTCCAAGCAATTTAACTATTAGTTGCTCAGATTATGCTTGGTCTTTCAGAAGAAAGCAAGTTAAACCAAATGTTTTTTGCATACTCCTATAACCAATTTTCACTTTAAGTATATAAATCTAGGCCATGAACTGGTAAGCTGCCGCACTACTCTAGCACTGTAGGACTGACTGTGCTCCAGCACTATCATTCTACTGCTGGAGAATTTTACACAATCTTGTGAATGGTGGTTTTTCTGAAAACTTTCTCATTGGCAAAAATGTAGAAAATACCTAGTATACCTAACCCATTGTAATCATAAGGCTAAAACAAAATAGTGCACAGCAGTTCTCTGAAAAGAAATGTTAAACTCCTTTATAAACACAAGGTGTTGAATATTACAATCGATAAGCACTTGCTTTGGCTCTTCACCACTAACCTCCACATAGACAGCCTTAGTTTTGCTAAAGCTTCTTTAATTTCATTAAAACAACCAAATCCACCCTGCCTGCTCTAGACACTCTCTTTTCCACTCGATCTACTTGCTAAATGACTCACAGTTGCTTATCTAATCCCACTCAGGTAACAGTACTTACAATTATCAGTATCTTTTAAATATAATGTTATAACTTTTTCGAGTTTCTTTTTTAAAATCACATTGTTATGAGAAATTTGGAAGAAAATTTTTAAATAAAATCACCCACAAACTCTACTCACCATTTACTATTTACATTTTGATATAATCCTATCAGATATTTTCCTACATGCATAAAATATTTCAACAAAATTAGCTGTACACTTCGGTATTTTTTCTCCATGTCTTTAAATACTTAAAAGAATTACCCTTAATGAACAGCTTATAAAAATCTCTTTTGATTATACTAGAATTAATTTTATTATTTGACTATTTTTGAACACTTAAAGTGTTTCAAAACACAATAGTATGAAAAAGAAAAAAATACTTAGGAATAATTTAACCAAGGAAATGAAAGACACACTGTAAACAACAGTGTTATTGCTTAAAGAAATTAAAGGAGACACAAACAGATGGGAAAACATCCTATATTGCTGAACTGAAAGATTCAATATTGTTAAGAGGTCATTACTACCCAAAGCAATCTACACATTCAATGAAATCTCTCTGATTTTTTTTTTCAGGAAAAGAAAAATTCATTTTAAAATTCATATGAAATCTCAAGGGACTCCAAATAACAAAAATAATCTTTAAAAAAAAAGAAAAAATCAGAGTTGAAAGTCTCAAACTTCCTAATTTCAAAATTTACTATAAAGCTACTATAATCAAAACAGTAAGGTACTGATATAAGAAATTAAACAGAATGGAATAAATTAGAATACAGAACCCAGAAATAATGAAACAGAATAGAAAACCCATAAATAAACCCTCACATAGTCAAATGATTTGACAAGGGCATCAAAACTATTCCAAGGAAAAAGGACAGTTTTTTCAACATCTAGATATCTGCAAGCAAAAAACAATAACGTTGGACTCTTACCTTATACCATATATAAAAAGTCAAAATGGATTAAATATCTAAATATAAGAGCTAAAATTATAAAAATTCTTAGAAGAAACACAGGGAAAAAGTTCCAAGGCAATGGATTTAGCAGTCATTTCTTTGTTAATACCAGTGGCAAAATCCAAAGAAAAAATAGACAAAATGCGCTTCATGAAAATTAAAAAATTGTGTATATAAGACACACTATCAAAGAGTAACATGGCAACTCACAGAATGGGAATAAGTGTTTGTAAATCATATATCTGATATGGGATTAATATCCACAATATTAATATTTAATTAATTTAATTAATATTCCTAAAACAAAAAAATTCAATATTCACCACCTACATTTTCTTATAGGTTTTTGAATTGGCTTTACTTTTGACTTTTAATTCCTGAATCTACTTTTAGGAATTATATGGTTAGGATATACCATCTAATTTTCTCTAAGTACTTAACAAAATACCTTAGTACCATGTGTTAACAATCTCATTAAATCATTAAGGTTCTACATTTATCATACAATAAAGTCTCACATCAAGGTCCTCTATCCTTCCCATTGATCCACCTAAAAATTTCTGAATTGCTGTAAAGTGTTCTGATCATCCTAACTTGAAAGATACAATTTAATATCTCATAAAGAAAGTACTATTTTCTAAATTTTCTTGTTGCTTTTTTTAAAAAAGAAAATCATCTTTGAAATCATTCTGTCATATTCCAAATATTTCCTATAGGATTTTATAAGCATATCAATAAATCGCCATCTTTATGGCTGGTCAGTATCCTCACTGAGGAACATTATAGGTCTCTTTGTAAAGTACTGTAGTTTTCTTAAAATAATTTCATTTGTTCCTTACAAGGCTATTCCTAGAGTTATACTAGAATTTCCTAAATTTATACCAAATTTTATTGAAAAGATGTGTGGGGTGGGGGTGTCATTATTTCCTACACTTTCTAGTTGGTTACTGCTGACAAAGATGAAAACTATTTGTATGCATTTATATTTATTTGACTAGTAGTTTTCAATTAGTTCCTACCAATTATCTAGACAATCACATAAAATGTAGCCTTAGCTGGTGTTGCTCAGAGACAGAGCACCAGCCTGTGAACCAAGAGGTCACCAGTTCAATTCCCAGTCACAGCACATGCCTGGGCCGCAGTGGTCCCCGGTTGGGGGCTAGCAAGAGACAACTGATCCATGTATCTCTTATACGTGCATGTTTCTCTCCTTCTCTTTATCCTTCCCTTCCCTGCTTCCTAAAAAAAAGTAAGTAAATAAAAAATGTTTAAAAAAATATAAAAACCACTGAATAGTTAACATCTCTTGCCAATCCACGGGCAACAAAGCAGCCAGGACTGTGATACAAGCTCTGCCTAACCCCGAGTCTCCCTGCACTATCTTAATGTTTTGCATTAACATTCCTATTTCTACACTGCTATACATATGGCACTATAAACTAAGCACAGCTTCAACTTTAGTTTTATGAACTTAATTTTCTTTTCATTTCATTCCATTTTCAATTTAATTTCATTTCAATTTGGATTTCATCCAATCAATAAATATATACTAAAAATCTACTATTTGATAGGTATTTTTTATGATCCTAAACATAGAGACAAATTTTTTTAAAAAGCTCTGACACAGAATCATTTTTTCTATTATGTCATATTTTCAAACTACCAGGTAATTTATCAATGCTCAATCTGAATTGGTCAACTTACGACATTTTTTTAAAACTGAGAGCTGAAAAATTCAAAAGAATTGTCAGAAAACAATTGGAGACAGTAAGATAATCAATTTAATAAAAACAATGGATACAAAATTAACATCCATATATCATCTTTATAGATTCACCTACACAGAAAACAAATTAAACAGCTAAACTCTCTCATTTGTCATTGTGTCCCCTCCCTTAGCCTGTACCTCAGTGATTTCCTCAAACTCTGTAATCATGTTAATAGCTTAAGAGTTTCTGATTTGGTCAAACTGAAGTGGTCCCAATAATAGACATTTATATTAACAACTTAATATGTATAGCTAATAATCAGCAGAATAATTATAATTTTAAAAAATCATATTAACTCCATTATAAATATTATTGGCTCAGAAGTGCAACTCTTCTTATATGTGTTCTGTCTTTAGTCAATTATTCCTCATGTAGTTAGAAATTCTAGTTCTACAATACTGAATATTATTGAATATTAAATGAATATTGCTACTATTAAGTAGCCAGTGGTGATTTCATCAAGATGTACAGATAAGTTTGATTTTTTTATAGAACTATAAATAATTAGTGGTAAAAGTACTGAAATGCAGCATAAGATATTTAATTATCTAGTTATTTCTAAAATATTCAAAGTGGAAGAGGAGAGTGTAACATTGTGTAAGTTTGTTAATAGACTTACACTTTTGATATCAGAGGTCAGAAATCTGTAATGGCTTCAGCAAAGCTATGATCTGACCTCAGGTGATATATGAGCTTTAAGAGTACAGACAATGCAACTGAAGGTTACATGCTGGCAAGAGACCAAAAATACATAAGTATTCTGAGAAAAAAATTTCAATAGATTAATACTATAACCTTTAAATCTGAAATAACAGAATATGGGGCATCATATCCATGAGGAGAAAAACTATTGAGAGGGTTTAACCAAGAATAAGGATACCTAGAATCTAATGTCAGTTTTATTCTCTCGGCCTTAGTTTCACATGTAAAATAATGATACTAGATTAAGTGTTCTTTCAGCCTGAAAATTTTAATTCTTAAGCCATTTACAAATGGGCATGACAAATGAAATTAGTCTACAATAAAATAGCTATACTTATTTTACTCTTAATTATTTAAGCTCTAATTATTTAGGGTACCAACAGATACATTTTAGGAGGACAAAAACTACTGATTCAAAGAATCAAGAGATTTTTTTACCTTTTACATCTTTTGTGTATATACACACATTTAAAAATGCTTTCTCATCAACATGGCAAATGTTCTCAAATGATAACACAGTGACTCGGTTTTTTAAAAAATTTACTATATGCAGTATTTTAAATGTGCCAGAGCTCAACTGAAGTCAACAAATATGTGAATTTACAGACACATTTCTTAGTCACAAAATTTCACAACTTGAAAAAATTTTGTTTAGGACAGTATGAATCAGGACATAGTTAAATGTTTGCTGCCATCTTGTGGCTAAGTTTACTTTATGAAATTTGTTTCATTAGTTGAGTTCTAGCATTATTAGCCATCTTATGGCTAGTAAGTCAATAGACTGCATTTTAAGGAAATTTTTCCATTAACTGAGGGTCAAATGATGGCTCTTCTAAAGCCATTACAGATCTAACCACTAATATCAAAAGTATAATTCTATTAATAAATGAAGGTTGATAATAAATCTATGTCATTTGTGCAAAGATGAGAGTCTATCTATCATGTCTCCCATGTATGATGAAATTAAATTATTTTAAGGGGCCTGTATTTTATCAAAGTGCTACTACAGGCTACCTGACTTCTGGTAAATCACTTAACTGTGATAATTTGGATTTCTTCATGTATCTTCACTTTTACCTGTATAGGATAATTATATATACTATATGTATATATTCGTAATGGCATTTGATTTTAAGAGGCTGGGCAAAGAAAACAAGATTGGCTACTTGCTTGATAGGAAAACCAACTTACTATAACTAATCTATTGCTTTCAGTTAGATTAAAAAACAAAAAACAAAAAACAAAACAAAGCACAAAACCCCAGCAGAATAGAATAACCTCTATTCTACAAACAGCCAGGTTGAAGACCATCAATGAAAATTGCAGGGTACATTAAAAGTCCCAAAAGGCCTCACTAAAGCAGAAACATAGAAACTATAAGGTTATGAGGGACTTTTTGTAAACCAGTAACTCAAAAGAAATGTTTCATATATCTATACTTTTAAAAATTATTTTCCAAAACAACTTATTAAACCAGTTTTTCTCAATATACACAAAACTAAAACTCTCCTATATTTGTAATTAATAAGTCATTAGAAATATACAGGTTTAGCTTGAATGCAATGCCATGGAGTTAACTTTTCATTATAATAGTAGATTAAGAACTTACGGCATCTGCTTTACAAATGGTGTTCGCTACATGTCGACACAGCATCTTTAGCCAGTTTTCTTTTGGAAGTTCCTCTGATGTCATCTGGAAACTGAGCAGCACATTTGCCTGCTCTGTTGGTGGCCTCACAAGCAAGGCAAAAGCATTATGGCAATCTAGGGTTCCAGAATCATAAACATTGTTACTCTTGGAAAATGACAGATTAATGCAAGTTTAGTTCCCTCAGACCAACAATATTCCAATTTAAAAAATCTCTTCACTATCCTTCCCATCCCCTCTATTTTAAATTGGACAAAGAAAATCACCGTATTACATCGAAACATTAGAATTATAGCAGTACCATATGAGGAACCAACAATGACAGTCTGACATTACATAAACAGTATTTTTCAAGACATTTAATATTTTGTATGATGGAGGTTTTAAACAATTAGAATGAACCATTATGTATAATCTTAGAATGTGATGTATAAAAATGACTACAGGAATAATTTAAACATGCAACCGACCTAAATCAAGTTCAAAAAAATAAAATGTCCAAATATTAAAATTGTTACAACCCTGGCAGGTGTGGCTCAGTGGATTGAGAACTGACCTGCAAACCAAAGGGTCACCAGTTCAATTCCTAGCCAGGGCACATGCTTAGGTTACAGGCCAGGTCCCCAGCAGGGAGCACGTGAGAGGCAACTACACACTGATATTACTTTCCCTCTCTTCCCCTCTCTTTAAAAATAAATAAAATCTTTAAAAAATAAAAAAATAAAATTGTTACAAAATGTTTTGTGACCGAGATGCAGAACCTATTTTAAACAATGAAGTCTTCCATTATTATAATATAAAACTATGGAAATGATGTAAAATAAATTTACTATATAACCCTTAATAGCTCAGACTTTGACAAGTTGAGTAAAGATAAGTTACTGTTCAAATTTTCTTTAATTGTTTCTATTAACTCAAAGCCTTCCACATTAGAGGACAGGATCAGTAATGGGACCTGCTTACATTGTAAGAACATATGCCTAACATCCAAAATACGGCCATGCAGACACGTCACTAGGTACTAGTTAAATATACAATACTGTTTTGGGTAGGTATAAACTTTTGGCAATTTCAGGCCCTCAGAGACCCTCCCAAATACTACCAAAGTTGAGAGTAAAGGCTTCCCTTACTATACATTTAACTCCATGTCAAGAATCCCACAGTTACTTTGGGTGTATTTGCTCATGCACATCTATTGCTGGTCACAGTCTAATCGCATCCTTAGCAATGCAGCCACTGACAGCAGGGAAGGTGTTAAGACGTGGAGCACAGGTAACAGACTGGTAATTTCTTTTGAATTCTGAAGAAATTAAAAGTTTGGTATGGGAACAGGCTAGATTAAGGTAATATTTTGACATGTAACGAGCCATATAAGGGATAAAGATATTCCTTAAATGGTTACATGTCAAAATGAGATAGCACTTCTATTTGAAAAATATCAAAAATAAAGTCAGTTCCTAAAGATGGAGCTGGGATAGAAGTATAAAAAGAATTACTTTACCAGAACTAACCAATTATACATAAAGATAATTTTGCATTTATACATAAAACATATGAAAGTGAATCAAACCTACCAATGAATAATTTTATTGGCCAATAAGCATACCTTCTGTCTCTCTGATGTCCAGCACTTTCTTGATTTGAGAAAGAGGCATTAGATGAATATGCTTAAGAGGAGCTGGGGGTCGGGTATGGCCATGAGGACTCCTAAAAGTGCCAATAACCTTGTGGCGTTTCCTTGCTATCTGATTATAGAAAAAAATAAGACACTGTAAGTAATATGAATAAAAACAAGACCAAATAATAAAAAATAAAATGGTACTAATCATATAAGTCAATATGCAGCTCATTTGGCTATTAGTCATTCCAGAATTACCATGGGATAAGAAGCTATGTAAAAAAAATTCATACATGTGAACTGTGTAACAGAAATGCTCATGTTTATATAAGAGTTCAAAAGTCAAGAAACCAGGCCAAGGGACAGGATCTATGAAAAAAATCCCAGAGGTGTGAAAAAACTTAGAAGCACTGTGAGAACTCAGAGGATTAAAGAACTGAGGAATCTTCTTGAGTTCAGGAAAAAAAAAATAGTTGCTCTGGGATCTCTGTATTGGGTTAAAAAGATCAGTGACATCAGTTTAAGAGAATTCATGATTACCTCAGATCCTGAGAACACAGGAGTTAAATAACACAGAAATGGTTCTACCTCTCATATTTTCATACTATTGAGAAAGATCTAAAGGGTAACTATACAATACACTGAACAAATGATACAAATTATATACTCAAGGTGCTGTGTTAAAATATAATTTTACCTATACTAGGGATTCATGCAAAAGGAAGAGATAGCAAAGGAATGCTGGAAAAGCCAGGAGCAAAATCAGAAAGGAGCCTGTGATTTACAATGTACTAAAGTTCTGTGAATTTTATAAAGTCTTTGAAGTTATTATTTTCATTTCCACGAAAGCCTGTTATGTCATTTAGCTTTTTAAAAAGAACATGCCTTTTGAGATTCTAATCATCAACGAAAAGATATTCTCAAAAAATCATCTAGATTAGGTTACTTAATTAATTGAAATTAACTGGTCACCACGATAACTTTAATAAAGTATGGCTGAAAAGTATACCTATCTGTGTTGACCAATTAGAAAAGACCAAAAGGCAGTCAATACCATATTCACATTGAGCAGGTACATGACACAGATCTATTATATATTAAATATTAAAAGTTCACTTACATTAATAGAGTGAAAATAAGTAATAAAGACTCTAAATATTTTCACTAATATTTACATATATTTTACATCAAGTTTAAAAAAACAAAACACCAATAAAATAAAAAAGGAAAAAATATATTCTAAAATACTAAATTAATTTAGATTCAGTAAAATCTGCTATATTTAAGGGAAATCATAAATTTCATCATACTCTTCATTCCCAATTTGCCTTGAGGCTTGGGTTTTATGTTCATTCGTTTTTTTTAGACAAACAAGCTAAAGAATAAGAGTTTAAGATTATAAATCTTTAAATTCAAATTTAATGTTAAAAATAGAGCTCTTTCAGTTACTGAGATTCTGAGACAAAGAAAGAGTAGAACAAAAAGTTACTGGTAAATGAAATGAGAGGCCAGAGTATCACATAATCGACTGAAAGCTACAGGGAATGACAAATGGCAGGAATTAAAGTGGAAGGTAAGTCAATGAGCCAGCTACAGAAAGCATCATGGAATTTGAAGGGGATATAGGATCAAAAATTTAAAGTTAACCATAACTCTCTCAAGATTAAAAACTAGAATGGATTAGCAGTGAAGTACAGATAGATAGCCAACTAATTAGATGAACAGAGCCAGTTGACCTAGGCACGTCAACAGGAAAAACCTAAAAAAACTTTAATAGAAGCTAACAAACAGAAGTACCAACAAACTATGGACAAACAGAACTCCATAACAATGCAAAATGAGATGAATATGATCCATAATTGATTCCACCTAGCTCCTGTTCTCAAAAGCAGAGCAGCCTAAATTTCTTTTATGGGATAGAAAAGAAGTTCTGAATTATCTGCCTCATGATTTCTTATAACTTTCTCAGTTCCGGGTATGATCAATTGTGTACAGTATTTTCACTCTTCTGCGTGTTGTAACATTTCTGGAAAAATGCAAATATCAATTTTCAGTAACCTCACAATAGCAAAACTCTGCTCTTAACACAAGTGAACTTCTGGTGACTGGGCATGATTTACTCTCTAAGATTCCCTTGTATTTTATATTAATATATGTGATACAAGAGCACAACACTAGAAAACAATTAGAAAAGGAAAAAAAGAAAGAGGTATAGTCTTTTTGAAAGGATAATCACTGCAATGACAGAGTGATTTTTTTTTTAACATCATTTAAAAAATAAGCTTTTTATTCTAAGAAACCCAAAACACTAACTTGAAAGAATATATGCATCCCTATGTTCACTGCGGTGTTAGTTACGATAGCCAATATCTGGAAGAAGCCCAAGTGTTCAGTAAATGAGTGGATAAAAAAGCTGTGGTGCATTTACACACTGGAATACTACTCAGCCATAAAAAAGGAAATTTTACCCTTTGCAACAGCAGTGATGGACTTGGAGAGCATTATGTTAACTAAGTAAATAATAAGCCAGTCAGAGAAAGACAAGTACCATATGACTTCCCTTCATGTGGAACCTGATGAACAAAAGCAACTAATGAGCAAAATAGAGAAAGAGCAGGCTGACAGCTGGGGGTAAGGTGGCAGGTACTGGGTGACAGGATTGAGAGACTGAACTGAAGAAAAAACTCACAGACCACAGACAACAATGAGTGACTGCTGGGAGGAGGGGCGGGGAGAGGTAGAAGAGGACACAGGGAGGATAAATGGTGATGGATGGAGACTTGACAGGTGGTGAACACGCCATGCAGCCTAGAGAGGACATGTTGTAGAATTGTGCATCTGAAACCTGTGTAATTTTGTTAACCAGTATCGCCCCATAAGTCAGTAAAAAGAAACATAAATAAATAAATAAATCGCCCATTAAATCTCTTTATGAAAGCGGCAGAAATTTACCCAATAATAGAAATGTCAAATTGGTCTTCTGGTTAATATCCATCTTATCAAAATGAATAGTTTTATCTCCTGAGATAAAGGGAAAAATACACTCCTCTTTATCCTCCATTAGGCTATTTAAGTGTTTAAAAATACACAATCAACAGAATGAAAGAAAAGAGTTGAAAAGCACACAAACGTAGTTCAGTTTGCTTTTAGAAATAACATGGAGGAAAACCTTAACTTCGATGAGAGTTTTAAAATAGAATCATTGCATGCCATCTGATGTACTGACCACCCATACACTCTAAACCGTTAACATAAGGAAGAATCAGAGAATCATAATTCATGAGACTAAGTAACCAAGTTATCTCTCTTTTCAAGAAAATATTGACTTCTTTGATAGAAAAACCTATTTAAATTTCAAAATAAACTTGTAATTATTTTGTACATCTTTTATAAATATACATAAAAATAGGAAGTTCCTAAAACTCTTGACTTAAGCATTTATTTGCATGAAAATAAGCTAAATTTCCATTCTCACTTGAATTTGAAGTCATGAAAATTTATCATACTTCTTAATATTAGGTCCTCTCCTAAAAGCATTCCATTAATAAATAGAATTAAATCAGCAATTGGTCTCAGTCAAAAAACTGTGATTATTTAAGTTCACTTACTTTAAACTTAAATTTAATACTTTAATCAAGGCTTGGTTTTAAACATTCAAGGAAATCACACAAATCAGCGGTGTTAATATTAAGTACAACTTTACCTCCAGGCAATCGTTGAAGAGAAAGAGAGTTACTTGTTCTCCTCTGTCACAGGGGTGCTCACCTAGAGAAATTGTTTCAACTCGTTGGACTAAGCTTCGGTGAGAAGATAAAAGATTAGCCTGTATAGATTGAAAATATAAACACATCACTTGAGAATAAGGAATTATTTTTAATTATAATTTAAAAGAAAGCAGTGCCATGATTCGTTTACATTAAAATTGTAGAATCTAAGTAAGAAAGAAAAAATAAATTGACAATCAAAAATGAATACTTACTGGGCATCCATCTACTTCATAAACAATATCAAAAAATTGCTTTTGAGCTTCAGTTTTCCTCTTATCCTCATTAATATGCCTGAAAAATTGATAAGGTTATTTTTAAAACTTTAACTTTTTAAAACAACAGAATATGGAAACTGCATACAAATACATCATGTTATAATAAAAGTCCTTCCAATGAGTTAATCTTAATTCTGATTAACGGAATCAGTTAAAATATTCCCTAAAAGTATCTGCTACATTTTAAAAAATTCCATACACCCTTCAGAAAAGTACAGTTTGCTATACTCTTTGCTATATTCTCTTTTTTTTAAACTATACTCAGTATACACTTCCTAAAATACATTATATCTGTATAATCTTCATGTTAACAGGTTTAATTATAAGTTCAGTTAAGGTTTTACTAAAGTTATTCCCAAGTCATATGCTAATCATTTCACTGAAACAAAACTAAGACCACAGCTTCCAGACAAGATGAAATAAGGAAAGCAAATACCATATTTTGCCATGCATAATGTGTACTTCTTTGCCCAAATTTTTGAGGGAAAAATAAGGATGCGCGCATTATACATGGGTATAATGATTACATACCATGTGTATAATAATCCCATGTATAAATGTGTACAAAAACATGGGTGCACATTATACATGGCACCTTTGTATATGGTACCCTTCTGACTGAAGCAACTAAAAAACTGTCAAAATATAAAGAAACAAGCATTCTCAAAACACTGGAAGTCAATTCCTGTGTGACATGAAACAAACAAGGCAAGCTGGCCAACTATGTACTGTCTATAAGAGACACATTTAGATTCAAAGACAAGTAAGATGTAAGAAGAAAAATACATATTCTTTTCAAATGCTCATGGCAGTTTTTCAAAGATAGACCACATGATAGGACACCAAGCAAACCTCAGCAAATTCAGGAAAATTGAAATACCACCAAACTTTTTCTCGGACCACAAGGGATTGAAACTGGAAATCAACCTCAAAGAGAAACTTCAAAAACTTGCAAACTCATGGAGACTGAACAGTAGACTATTAAACAATGAATGGGTCAATAATGAGATAAGAGAAGAAATCAAAAAATTTCTGGAAACAAATGAAAATGAACAGACAACTGTCCAAAACCTATGCGACACAGCAAAGGCGGTCCTGAGAGGGAAGTTCATAGCAATACAGGCTTACCTAAAAAAGATAGAAACATTTCAAATAAAAGACCTAACACTACAACTTCAAGAACTGGAGAAACAACAACAAGTAAATCCCAGAGCAAGTAGAAGGAAGGAAATAGTCAAGATTAGAGCAGAACTGAATGACATAGAGACGAAAAGAACAATTCAGAGGATCAACCAAGCCAGAAGCTGGTTCTTTAAAAAGATAAATAAAATTGACAAGGCTTTAAGCAGACTCATCAAGAATGAAACGGAGAGGACCCAAAAAATAATATCAGAAATGAAAGAGGAGAAATAACAACTGATACCACAGAAATAGAAAGGATTGTCAGAAACTACTATGAACAATTATATGCCAACAAATTTGAAAATCTTGATGAAATGGACACATTTTTAGAAAAGTATAATCTTCCAACACTGAAGGAGGAAGACACAGAACGCTTGAACAGACCGATAACAGCTGGGGAAATTGAAGCAGTCATCAAGAAACTCCTGGCACACAAAAGCCCAGGGCCGGACGGTTTCACAGGAGAATTTCACAAAACATTTAAGGAAGAGCTAACTCCTGTCCTTCTCAGACTATTCCAAAGAATCCAAGAGGAGGGAAGACTCCCAGACTCTTTCTATGAGGCCAGCATCACCCTGATCCTAAAACCAGATAAAGACCCTACAAAGAAAGAAAACTACAGGCCAATTTCACTGATGAACATAGATGCTAAAATCCTCCACAAAATATTGGCAAACCGCATCCAGCAATACATTCAAAAGATTATCCACCACGATCAAGTGGGATTCATCCCGGGCATGCAGGGATGGTTCAATACATGCAAATCAGTAAACGTGATACATCACATAAATAAAAGACAAAAACCCCATGATCATCTCAATAGATGCAGAAAAAGCATTCGATAAGGTACAGCACCCATTTATGATCAAAACACTCAGCAAAATGGGAATAAATGGGGCATTCCTCAACGTAATAAAGGCCATATATGAAACACCTACAGCCAATATCATACTCAACGGGCAAAAACTGAAAGCTTTCCCACTAAGATCGGGAACACGACAAGGATGTCTGCTCACCGCATCTTTTCAACATCGTATTGGAAGTCCTAGCCACAGTGGTCAGACAAGAGAAAGAGATAAAAGGCATCCAAACAGGAAAGGAGGAAGTAAAACTATCATTGTTTGCAGATGACATGATAGTGTACATAGAGAACCCTGTAGACTCTACCAAAAAACTCCTCAACCTAATAAGTGAATTTGGCAAAACAGCAGGATACAAAGTCAACATTCAGAAATCAAAGGCATTTTTGTAAACCAGCAATGCAATAGAAGAAATCAGAGAAAAAATACCATTCGATATAGCAAGAAGGAAAATAAAGTACCTAGGCATAAATTTAACCAAAGAGGTAAAAGACCTGTACGCAGAAAACTATACAACATTGAAAAAAGAAATTAAGGAAGACACAAATAAATGGAAGCATATACCGTGCTCATGGATTGGAAGAATTAATATCATCAAAATGTCCATACTACCCAAAGCAATTTATAGATTCAACGCAATCCCTATTAAGATACCAATGACATATTTCACAGAAATAGAACAGACATTTCAAAAATTTATATGGAACCATAAACGACCCCGAATAGCCTCAGCAATTTTGAGAAAGAAAAACAAAGTAGGAGGGATCACAATACCGGACATCAAACTCTACTACAAAGCCACTATACTCAAAACAATCTGGTACTGGCACAAGAACAGACCCATAGACCAGTGGAACAGAATAGAAAGCCCAGAAATAAGCCCAGGTCTCTATGGGCATCTAATATTTGACAAAGGGGGCAGAAGCATAAAATGGAGCAATCATAGCCTCTTCAACAAATGGTGTTGGGAGAACTGGATGGCTATATGCAAAAAATTGAAATTGGATCATCAGCTGACCCCCACCATACACAAAAATAAACTCAAGATGGATAAAAGACTTAAATATAAGTCACAACACCATCAAAGTCCTAGAGAAGGACATTGGCAGGAAACTCTCAGATATCCCACGCAGCAAGTTTTTCACTGATAATGTCTCCTAAAGCAAGGGACATAAAGGAAAGAATAAACAAGTGGGACCTCATCAAAATGAGAAGCTTCTGCACGGCTAAAGAAAACATCAGCAAAATGAAAAGGGAGCCAACTCTATGGGAAAATATATTCGCTAATGATACATCAGATAGAGGTATGATCTCCAAGATATATAAAGAACTCAACTCGACTCCACTCCAAGAAGACAAACGATCCAATCAAAAAATGGGTTAAGGACCTGAGCAGACTCTTTTCCAAGGAGGAGATACAGAGGGCCCAGAGGCATTTGAACGGATGCTCAGCATCACTAGCCATCAGAGAAATGCAGATCAAAACCACCATGAGGTACCACCTCACACCGGTAAGAATGGCCATCATAAACAGATCCACAAACAACAGGTGCTGGCGAGGCTGTGGAGAAAAGGGAACCCTAGTCCACTGTTGGTGGGAATGCAGACTGGTGCAGCCACTGTGGAAAGCAGTGTGGAATTTCCTCCAAAAGCTGAAAATGGAACTGCCTTTGGATCCAGTGATTCCCCTGCTGGGACTATACCCTAAGAATACCAAAACGCCAATACAAAAGAACCTATGCACCTCAATGTTCATAGCAGCACAATTTACAATAGCCAAGTGTTGGAAGCAACCTCAATGCCCATCAGTAGATGATTGGATCAAAAAGTTATGATACATATACACAATGGAATACTACGCAGCAGAAAGAAAAAAAGAAGTACTAAACTTCAGGACAGCATGGATGGAACTGGAGAGCATTATGCTAAGCGAAATAAGCTGGAAGGGGGGAGGGAGGACAAATACCATATGATCTCACCTATAAGTGGAACCTAACCAACAATACAAAGATGCAAGGAAAATAAGACCAGCAACACTGAAAGGAAAAGAAATCAACAGAGACAAGAGGGAAGGGGGGGCGGGGGCGGGGAAAAGGAAGGGAAGGGGAAAGTCAAGGAACATATAGCAAGGTCTCATGGACAAAACCAAAGGGGAAGAGCTGAGTGAGGGAAGGGGGGAGGGGGCAAGGGAAAGTGGTGGGGGGTAGGCAGAGACAAATGTATTTGAAAAAATAAATTAAAATAAAATTAAAAAAAGAAATGTTGAATCATTAAAAAAAAATTTATGGTCAGCTGATTTTCAACAGAAGTTAAAACTAATTTCAGTGGAGAAAAGTTGGTATTTTTACCAAAAAGTGATAAAATAGATTTCCGTTAAAAAAATAAATATTGATCTATACCTTACCCTTATACCAAAAAAAAAAAAACCCTTAAAATGAATATTGGACGTATGATTTTTATCTAATAATTAAAAGTACAAAGCTTCTTGAAGAAAACAGGTAACCTCCGTGACCATGAGTTAGACCAAGATCACCCAAGAAAAAATTACAAAATTACCATCCATGGGGGAAAAAAACCTGATAAATTAGATCCCATAAAAATCTAGAACTCCCATTTTAGAAAGGAACTGCTAAAAAACTAAAAACAAGCCACAGAGTACAATATTTGCAAATCATGTATTTGACAAAAGTCTTTTCTTAACCAACTTTTTTAATAGGGCAGTTTTTTTAAAAGAACTCTAAAATAAGAAAATCCAAATTAAAAAAAAAGAAAGACAAGAGATTTGAACATACATGTACATATAACAAAGAAGATAATACGGATGGCAAATAAGCACATGGGAAAATGCTAACCATCCTTTGTCACTAGGGAAAATGCAAGTCAGAACTACAATGAGATACATAGCTACACATCCATTAGAATTTCACAAATTAAAATGAATGGGGGTGGGGGTAAATGAGTGAAAAAGTTGAAGGGATTAAGAAGTACAAATTAGTAGTTACAGAATAGTCATGGGGATGCAAAGAACAGCATAGCAAATATAGTTAATATTGTAATAATATAACTGCATATGGTGTGAGATGAGTACTAGATTTATCACAGTGGTCGCTTTCATGTTATATAACTGTCTAATCACAGGGTTGTACACCCAAAACTAATACAATATTGTATGTCAACTGTAATTCAAAAATAAACATTTTGATAAAATAAAAAATAAAAAAATAAATAAAATGAATGATCATACTTAAGAACACGGAGCAACTGGTACTCAGGTCCTAAAAATACACTGTTGATGCGAATGCAAAATAATACAACCACTTTGGAAATAGCAGGATAGATTTTTAAACACCTGCATGACCTAGCCATTTTTACTCCTAGGTATTTATCCAGAAGAAATGAAAGTATATGTCCATAAAAAGATTTATTCACCAATGTTCACAGCAGCATATTGGTAATAGCCAGACAATGAAAATGATCAAAATGTTCACCAACACATGAATGGATAAACATGGTATTTCCATACAATGGAAAACAATAAAAGAGAATGAACCATTGATATAAGCAACAATAAGGACTAATCTTGAAATAATTATGCAGAGTATTAAAAAAAGTCTGACAAAAGATAATATACTGTTTGATCTAATTTAGGTAAAATCCTAGAAAATGCAGATTATACTGATTAAAAAAAAAAGAAAGAGCAGTTGTTGCCTTGGGATAGTCTGGACAGGGAGAAGCAGGAAAAGTGATACCAAAGGCGATTAATAAACTTTTGGAGGTGACAAAAATGTCGCTTATCTTGACAGCAGTGATGGTATTGTGGGAGTATATGTATGCCAAAGTTAATCAAAATATATTTTAAACATGTATAGTTAACATGCTGAAACTAGTAAAACAGAAATCTATAACAAATTAATGTTTATAAATTAAGTATGTGTAATTAATGGTGTTAGAATCCAATTTTAGTGCTTTTTTTGTTTGTTTTGCTGAAATAGCAAGGACTAGTTAATTGGTGCTATCTCAGTATTTCCTTTACCTAACAGGTTACAGTTGTTTCAATCAACCACAATAAGCATTTAATCCCTATGCTAAATGTTCAAGAATCTCAAGAATTCAGATATGCTCAAATTCTCTAAGGTTTACATATCAGCATCGCAATTCAACAATAAAATAGCAGCTTCTATAAAATCAACATATATTGAAAATCTACAAGCAAGCCATTTAGGACAGAGATATATTAGAAAGATTTGTAAGGTCTCAAGACGCTTAAATAATGTTGAAAAAGAAGAAATCTTTAATCACCAGTCTTATGACTTTGGCCCATTACCCCTGGACCAGCAGTCTCTGTGGCACTCCTCCAAAGGAGGCAGCAGGTCTAATGAGTAGTTTTTTCCCTAGTTAGGTTACTTTATAATCTTTATTTACCAAAATCTATTACATATAAATAACAAATAGCATATGCTATTACCAAAATAGTGGTACAGTATGATACACACTAAACAGATAAATTAGGCAAGTAATAGCCTCTCAGCTTTTCGCTTTTGGGAAAATATATTAACAATGGCTGCCTACTTCAAAGAGTTTGTTGAAAGAATCAAGGTAAATAGTGTCAGAGGTTGTTAAAGCATGAAGTGTTGAAAAAAACTATTTTCCTGGCCCCAAAATAAATCAAAAGCAAGAAGACTGATGAACACATAAAATACAAATGTAAGCAAAAAAGAAAACATGCATAGAATGGTCAGTAGCAACTGAAACTGGTGTTCACTAATTTGAGCATTATTTTACTGTTGGACCCTCATCTTGCAGCTAGTAAAGTTCCTTGCTAAGAGCTCCTTTGCAAGTATTTTAAGAAATATTTCATATTGAGCCACCTCATGGGATCTCAGAAAATACTTCATTATATCTATTAAATATGTTGATATGTAAAGTCCTAAGAGATGAAGTGCTCTCGCCCTCTATGAGACAAAACAATACCAACATAGTTTTCAACTCTAATCATAGTAGTCAGAAAAGAGCATTTCTGATCAGAACTATGTCTACAAGTTTATAACAATCAAGGGCCCAAATCAGTTTTATTGAGTTTATGCTTTTCTTACATCTCCAACCAACCCTGACAATTTAATTCCTTAAAATTCAAGTTAAGAAACAAAAAGCTAAAGGTAAAGTGAAGAAAGTATTATAAACCTTTTGTTTTTATTTCACCACTGTCAAATACCCAAGTTAAATTTGGGCAGTTTATATGAATATGAAGACAAAAATAAGCTATGACTAGAGATATATATGAAGAAAACATCTATTAGTAAATTATAACATTTTCAAATTTGCAAACCATTGCTATTCTCTGTGCATAACAGTTTAATACTTTAAGAAAAAATGTTTTTGATTAATCAGTGTTTTATTACAACATTCTCATCATTTCAATGTGTAACTACACTATTAGAAAAAAAGCTTCAGTATTTTACAAATATTTGTTAACATTTTCCTCTCTATGACTAATTGTTCTATCAATTCCATTCTACATCCAAGGAACAATAAAAAACGGAAATAATGCACTTACTTCATTACTTCCCTTAGTGATTCAATAGCATTTTCTAGCATGCTTTTGTCAGGATTTTCTTCAGCTGTATGCTTCTTAAGGTCTGTAATGATAAAATGTTTTTTCCATCATTAACAAAAATTCAGTGGTTTTCCTTCTAAGACTTAAAAATGTTACCCATCTTAATAGATATAGATTGATAATGTTTAAAGACATAGCCAACATTCACTTTAAAAAAATACTTACTCAGCATTCCCTTAAGAGCACTCTTTCTACACATGTTAAGGCTTCCACATTTTTTTTATTGACTTAACTTGCTATTGCAGGTAACACGTATTTCACTATCTCAATTTCCTTCCAATGAAGGTTGAGGACTTAATAGATTCCTTAAACTCTCTCCATGAATGAAAACACACGATCATCAGTTACTTGAGAAATCATTATGCAGGGATGGGCAAAATTAGGTTTACAGTTGTGTGTACAAGAAAGAATTTAGTCTTGTATTATTATTTATTAATTACTGTGTTACTTGTATTACAACTGTAAACCTACTTTTGCCCATCCCTGTATGTTGTATTTTGTACTGAAGTCCATGACTCCATCACAGAGAGAATCTGTTGCCCTTCAGAGCAGGTTTTGTTTAGTTTACAGGTTCATGGGATGCTTACAGGTTCAGAGATGCTTACGTAACTTTGACTTTTTTAATCCAGGTTGTTCATAACATTTCCTATGCCGTTCCACCAAAGGGTTTCCTAGTATCACATCCACCCAAACTTTTATATGGATTGATAAAAGAATGGATCAGAAATCAAGCTCATTTTAGTCATGACAAAATGTGATGGATGTCTACAGAAACTTAATGGAAAAATAAAGATAAGCAAAAATATTTACATACACACACACACACACACACACACACACACACACACACAGACTGCTGTGTAAAGTTAAAAGTTTGCTTGCCCATATATTCTCTTTATAATCTGTAAAATAGAACAGCTTTTAAAGACCAGAAAATTGACCTCCAGTCAAGATGGAGACATAGGTAAACACATTGCACCTCCTCATGCAACCACAGAAAGAATTACAACTAGACCTTGAAACAAGTAACACTCAAACCTGTCAGAAAATTAAGCTGTAAGGAAGTATATTCAAAGTGATGAAAAGCAAGGACCTACAACCTAGATTATTCTATCCAGCAAAGCTATCATTTAGAATGGAAAGGCTAATAAAGTGCTTCCCAGACAAGGTAAAGCAAAAAGAGTTCATCATCACCAAGGCATTATTACATGAAATGTTAAAGGGACTTATATAAGAAAAAGATAATGATCAAAACTATGAACATTAAAATGGCAACAAATTCACAACTATCAACAACGGAATCTAAAAAAAAACAAATGATGCAAACAAGCAGAACAGGAACAGAATCACAGATATGGAGATCATTTGGAGGCTTATCACTTGGGTGGGGAAAGGGGGAAAAACAGGGGGAAAGGTCCAGGGATTAAGAAGCGTAACCGGTTGGTACAAAATAGACACGGGGATATTAAGAACAGTGTAGAAAGGAGTAGGCAAAGAACTCACATGCACAAACCATGAACATGAATGAACTAAGAGGGGGAGGTTTGCAGGAGGAAATGGGGGTACCAGATGGAGGGGAGCAAAGGGGGAAGAATTGGAACAAGTGTAATAGCAAAATCAATAAAAGTTATTAAAAGAAGATGACTAGAAAATCATTTTATCAGCTCTTAATTCTAAACTACATTAGAAAAACTTAGAACAAAAATTGTCAATTTTTAAGCAACTACTACAATTCAAGTTAAACCAAGTATTTTAAGAAAACAGATTAAAAACAGATTAAAGTTACAAAATTAGCCTCCTTGTTAGTTATGTATCCTACTGTAGTTAAGGTCTGAGAATCAAAATGCTTTATTACAGATTTATTCCTGTCTGTAATTTAGTTTTCATACTTAAATTTTTAAAATATAAAAACTGACACTGTCCTAAACATGATCACTTCCTTAGTGAGCTAAATGTACAGATATGCTTGCCTTTTACTGCAGACAAAATTTATTCATAAAAATTAACTCTGCTGTAAAACTCCCTTGCATTGATATTTATAGTGTAACTCCTAAAACAAATGAATGTATGTTTCAAGAGTGTTCTGCACAATCTAAGAAAAAAACAGTAAGCATTGAGAGCAAGTATACAAAACTTTACTATGATTTGAAAAAAAAAAAAAATAACTTGAGACATATGAATAATCTCTTGCCTTGTGATTTTGTGAGTAAATGGTGTGTTTACATACATATAAAATGATTTTAAATTAGTGATACACCATGAAATGTAAGGAGACTTTTAGTGGAGAGATAAAAAGTGCAATACTAGTCAATATAATTGACATCAACTCTGGCTGTTGTGGCTTGTGGATTAAGTGCCAGTCTACGAACCAAAGGGTCACCAGTTCGATTCCCAGGCAGGGCACATGTCTGGGTTGTGGACCGGGTCCCCAGTAGAGGGTGCATGAGAGACAACCCCACATTGATGTTTCTCTCCTTTCTCCTTCCCTTCCTCTCTCTCTAAAAATAAATAAATAAAATCCTTAAAATATAAATATAAAATTGATATCAGAACAAATAAAGCATTTTAGGCCAGGCTGTTTTTGTAACACAAATGATTAAGGTTATCCATAAAGATGTTATCTATGTAAATGATATAAATGTTAATGCTGAAATCTAAGAAAACTATGAAAACAAAAAAGTTTCCAATTTTTTAGAATAAAACCATTCCACAAAATTATCCAAAGTGGTCTGAAAAATGATTAGACAAGTACCATTCAAAAGTAATGCAACACTGGGTAACCTCTGTACTGGTCGGATGAGGAGTTCAGCAAGGCTTTGCCGTCCACATTCTGGTTTAGCTTGGTTTATCTGAAAGGAATTAATTTATTCAACAATTTTTAACAAAGCTTTTTTTCTACAAACACTAGACAACCTACATTTATCAGATTACACCTGATCATTAATGTCCTGATGGCTAATTGCCAAAGTGGGGTGGTAGTTGTTCAGTGGCAGATTACTGTGGTCAAAAAATGTCCCAAGTCCTGAAATGACTTCCTGGCCATCTAAGGGTTACATCTTAACCAGAAAATGAGTTCCTCCACACACTATTATATATTTCATCTTAAGATGCTCTTAAATCTATCATTCACAGGAAAAAATGTTTTAAAATATTAATTATGCTACCCTGACTCGTGTAGCTCAGTGGGCTGGGTGTCGTCCCGCAAACTGAAAGATCTCTGGTTCGATTCTTAAGAGTGCATGCCTGGGTTGCAGGCCAGGTTCCTAGTTGGGGGCACGCGAGAAGCAACCAATTGATGTTTCTTTTGCACATGGATGTTTCCTTCTGTCTCTCCCTCCCTTCCCCTTCCTCTAAAAGTAAATACAATCTTGTAAAAAAATAATAATTAGGCTGACACCACTGGATAAACAAAGGAAAGGCACTGATGGGGGGCAGGGGAATCACTAAAGGCAAAACAAAATCACCCTGGAAATTTTTTAGGTGCTTGAGAACTAAAACATGGATAACCTAAACATAATAGTAATAACAACAATAACCATATACAACATTCTCATTCACTCAGCTGACTCGTGGACCCTGCTACCTAATATGTCAAATCTTCAGAAGCTAAATATCACTGCCACTCTCAGGTACAGCTAAAGTTAACAGATAACATTAAGGTGTCCTTACATGCATACATTTTTACTAAAAGTATAATTTTAATAAACTCCTTCAGAAATTATTCCCAGATTTTTATTTGAAAGAATGTACATTACCTTCAAAAAAGCATGAAATCTTGGTTTCTGTTTTTCACACTTAATAATTGTTTCCTTGCTCATTTCAAAGAAGTTTATAAAGGGTGGGTAGGTTTTTACCAAATCTTTTGACTAGGAAGAATAAAAAAGAAATTAATTTGTAATGTATTTCATCCTTAGACACTAAAATTTAAAGTCAATGATCGACAATCTGACATATTGAAGGCAAACGTTTGTAAGTGTCTTCTCATTCTCATATTAAATAAAAAATATTTTTTAAAGTTCATACTCATGAGTGAGTTAATTGCTAAACAAAATGCATCAATTGGTACATACAGCCTAGAACCTGAAAAATAAATAAAGACCAGAAAGAAACAAAAATATATTACAGCTTATTGTACTAGTATAAGCATTGCAATTTTAAAAAACTTCCATAAATTTACAACAAAGAAGCCAAGAACATATAATTGAGGAGTCTGTACAATAAATGGTGTTGGAAAAGCTTGACAGCTACATGCAAAAGAATAAAACTAGACTACTATCTTACACCATTCACAAAAATTAACTCAAATAGGTTAAAGACTAGAATGTAAGACCTGCAACTATAAAATTCCTAGAAGAATACAAGGGAGGTTAAGTTCTTTGACATGGATTTTCGTGATGTTTTTCAGGATCTGACTCCAAAGGCAAGGGAAACAAAGCAAAATGAACAACTAGGACTACATCAAACTAAAAAGTTTCTGCACAGTGAAGGAAACTATCATCAAAAGGAAAAGACAACTACCAAATAAATGGGTGAAGGTATCTGCCAATCATATCCAATAAGGAGATAATATCTACAATATATAAAGAAATCATAAAACTCATCAACAAGAAAAACCTGATTGAAGAAAGGACAGGAGAATCTGAATAGACTTTTTCCCAAAGAAGGCATACAGATGGTCAACAGGCACATGAAAAGATGTTCAATATCACTAAATATTTAAAAAGGGAGAACCAAAGCCACAGAGATATCAACTCATACCTGTTAAAATAACTACTATCATAAAGACAAGAAATAACAAGTGTTGGAAGGATGTGGAAAAAAGGGAACCCTGTATACTGTTGGTGGGATTGTTAAGTGGTACAGCCACTACAGTAAACAGTATAGAGAATCTTCAAAAAATTAAGAACAGAACTACCATATGATCCAGGAAGACCTTCCAGGTATTTATCCAAAGAATTTGAGTAAGCATCCCTATGTTCATTGCAGCATTATTTATAATAGTTAAGCTGTGGAAACAATCTAAGTGTCCGTCAATGGATGAATGGATAAAAATGTGATTTTATATATATACAATGAAATGTTATTTAGCCATAAAGAAATTAAATCTTACCATTTGTAACAACATGGGTGAAACTTGAGGGTATAATGCTAAGTAAAATAAGTCAGAAAAAGAAAAGAAATACCATATAATTTCACTCATATGTGGAATCTTAAAAAAAAAACAAGAGGAACATACAAAACAAAACAAAACAAAAACAAAATCATAAATACAGAGAACAGAACAGTAGAGCGGGGTAAGGGGGTGAGCAAAAGAAAGGAAGGGGTCAACTGCACGGTGACGTATAATAACCGAACTTTCGGTTATCACTTTCTATCTGTATGTAGATGTTGAATTATACTGTTGTATAACTGAAACTTGTGTAATAAAAAAAAGTTTATAAGTTCAGAACACAGGCATTAGAATTAATCTGTGCAGAACATAAGAACAAGCTATCATTTATTGAAGGATCCAAACCATTACAAGATTAATTTTATTACTCAAAAATGGAAACAAGAAAATGAAAAATGTCTTGGCTCACTGAGGAGACTAAAAGGTATCAAAAAGGTATGTGAGACTAATTCGCATATTTGTAATTCACAGCCAACCAGAAAAAAAATCTAAGAAACTATATGGTAAGGATGGAAGTTAGAAGGCCTCAGAAAGGAAATGTGCCAGAACCCGAGGCACTGAAACTTAAAAATCGTATTTAAAAAGACAAATAAATTTATAAATCCTATTCATAGCACCTTATTCAAAATACGTTTACTTTATTTAAAAAAATTAAGCTATGCTGTGGTTATGTTAAGAATCAGTTCCTTAGAAGCTTTTAACAACGACAATAAAAAGGGACTATCAACTAAGGAAAAGTAAAAATAAAAAATTTTTAAAAATCATTAATCTACGGCCATTTGTGAAGGGCAAATAACTTGATATATAGCACAACGATTATAGTACAGTATAACAATTACCGTTTCTAATGATGACTTTGAGCTATTGCAAGTGTTGAATTTTATATTTTAAATACAATGTCAAGGTTTTAAAAGCTCTCACGTTTAAACAGGTAACTTTCATTTTCTGCCAATCCTTTGATACAATACTTTAATCTGAAAACTTAAAAAAAATAAAATACTTACATATTTAAGAAAGATGTCACCAATGCTTTTGTTTTCATCCCAATTAACAATAAGATCTTCAAGATCATCCTGAAAGAGCACAAAATGAACTTGACAATCCCTTAGACATCTTTTAACATTTTTGAAGATACTTTACACAGTGTCTTAATTTGATGGGCAAAACAATTAATAACACAGTCTTTCTCATCAACAAGGAATTAACTTGAGAAAAACATCCTTAGGAAAAAAACATTAAGAAAGTATAGAGTAGCCCTGGCTGGGTAGCTCAGTTGGTTAGAGTGCTGTCCCCATACACCAAGCCTGTGGTTTCAATGCCTAGTCAGGGTACCTATAAGAATCAACCAATGAAAAATGCACATAGGTAGAGCAACAAAATTAATGTTTCTCCCCACTATCTCTCAAATAAATAAAAAAGAAAATATGGAGTTATCAAATTAATAAGACTAAGCCTAACTTCTTATTATGATGTGACAGTTCAGTATCTTTTATTAACTATAAAGCTAACTGGCATTATTTATTATAGAAACTACTTTCATTTGTGCTGCTGAAGCATCTTATTTAACATCAACCATTAGAAACTAATCTAACTAATCTATAATACGGGTCAACAAACATTACTTAAAGAAGCCATAATGGTTTATGTCACAACACTTAACTCTGTCCTTGTACAGTGGAAACAACCATAGACAACACATAAATAATTGAGTGTGGCTATAGTTCAATTAAACTTTCTTTACCAAAAGCAAAACTTTACCAAAATCCCAAACTGCCTGGATTTGGTCCACCAACCATAGTGTACTAATCCCCAGTCTAAAAAATTCCTCAATTATCATACTAAAATATTACATATTTGGAAAAATTTAGAAGACACTTAAAAGCTTTATAAGTAATAAAATACAAATCAGATGATAAAATGAGATGCCAAGAAATGACATGCCCTAATTGAAATTCTAAAAATGATTTTAAAGTAGACATTAATCAATCAGTTCTTATACCAGAGGTTGTCAACATATCACCTGCAAACCCCACAGCATAACTTTTCAGTGGGATCCATGAGATTAAAACTATTTTCAATTACAATACTAAGGTATTTGACTTTTTCACTCTAATTCACTCACAAGTATACAAGAGTTTTCTATAGGCTACATAATGTGTGATATTGCAACAGATTGAATAAGGAAACAGGTTTGAGAAAAAAAATCTCCTATTATGTCAGACAAAAAATGTAAAACAACTGCCTTGGCTGAAGCTCAGCGGATTGAGTGCCAGCCTGCGAACCAAAGGGTTGGTTAGATTCCTCATCTAGGGCACATGCCTGGGTTGCAGGCCAGGTCCCCACTGGGGGGGCCCGAGAGGCAACCACACATTGATGTTTCTTTCCCTCTTTTTCTCCTTCCATTCCCCTTGTTCTAAAAATAAATAAAATCTTCTTAAAAAAAGGAAAATATCACTCACTATTTATTTTGACAATTATTATTTTTCATAAAGAATATGTTATTTCTGCTACCATGAGTTGTTATTACTTTAATTTACTAATATATTTTAAATTGGATATCCACACACAAAAAGAAAAAACCCTCACCTCACTCCAAAATTATCTCAAAATGGATTATAGAGCTAACTATAAAAGCTAAAACAATACATTTAGAAATAAGAGGGGGAAAAAAACAAACTCGGCAAAAATTTCTCAGATATGATCCCAAACGGACAGACAATACATGAAAGGAAAAAAAATATATAAACTGGACTTCATCAAAATTAAAAACTTTTGTACTTCACAGAAACAATTAAAAAATGAAATGACAAGCAAGAACAGATTGGAAGAGAGTATTTCCAAAAAACACATAGCTGAGAAAGGATTTGTATCTAGAATTTATAGAGAACCCTTACAAATCAATAAGATAACAAACCACCCCATCAATAAATGGACAACATATCTAAGCACATATTTCAGCAAAGATAATATACAAATCGCTACAAAGCACATGAAAAGATATTCAACATCATTAAACATTAGGGGAAAGTACATCAAAATCACAACAAGATACCTCACATCCTAGAATGGATATTAAAAAAGCGTAACTATTAATGAGAATGTTGAGAAATTTGAACCCCATACATTACCACTGAGAATGCAACATGGTATTTTTAAAAAGCCTATAATTTCTCAGAAATTTTAAACATAAGATGACCATTATGACCTAAAAATTCTACTCCTAAGTATCTACTGAAGAGAAATGAAACAACTGCCTATACAAAATTTGCACACAATGTTCACGGCAGCATTACCCATAATATCCAAAAACTGGAAACCACCTAAATTTCCATCAACTGGTGACTGAATAAAGCAATGTCACAGAGTCATATAGTGGACTATTATCTGGCCATACAAAAGAACTACTAACGTGCTTCATCATAGATGAAATTCAAAAATTTGCTAAGTCAAAGAAGCTAGACAGGTATCACATACTGTATATTTGTATTTACATGAAAATCCATAGAGTAGTGTAGCAGTTGCATAGAAGCACAACTAGGAATAGGAATTAACTATAAATGGACATGAAGGATCTCATCGGGGGAGGTAGAAATGTTCAAAAAATGGATCTACAGTAATAACTGCATCACTTGGCAAAGTTATTAAAATTAATGAATCGTATATTTGAAACATGTTAATTAAAAAACACAGTTATCTCAGTAAATCTGTTTAAAATGATACAGCTTAAAAAATATTTTTAAATTTTGTTTTAATTTCAAATATAGTTAAACCCACCCAAAAGTTCCTCAGTAATTTTGAGGGATGAAAAGAGATCTTAAGAGCAAATAATTTAAGAACCATTCTCATACACTATGAGATTCAGAAAAGTTCAAAAGAAAAAGGTTCTTTTGACAGGATAAAAGTTAACTCAAAGCAAGACTCCTTAACAGTCCATAAGTTAAGAACTAAGATTTAACAACCTAAAATTATACTTAAAAGAGGCAAATGAAGGGAAAAAATGAATATAAATAAAACTAATCTTGGGGTAATAAAACTAATATAGTGGATCTAGCACTAACTAACTAGTTTTAAATACTGGCTCTTGGATTTCTTAGTTCTGTGCCCTTGGGCAAGTTACTTAACCTATTAGTGTTTGAATTTCCTACTCTGAAAAATTAGGATGGTAATCATTCATATCTCATAAAGGACTAAATTAGTCAATACTTGTATAGCACTTTAAAGCATCCCAAAAAAATAGTAGTGCTCAATATGCTATTATTAACTATATTTTCCTATGTATTTAATATAATATAGGGGGTATAGTTGGAAAACAGTGATGCAAGAGAAAAACTTATAGCTCTGCCAATATAATGTAGTAGTGTTTTTCCACCACATTCACATAACTTTTATTACAGCATACTGTTATAATTGTTCCAATTTAATCATTAATTACTGTTCTTAGCCTTTTATTGTGCCTAATTTATAAATTAAACTTTATTGCAGGTAAGTGTGTACAGGAAAAACAGTACATATATGGCTTGGTGCTATTGTGCTTTCAGGCACTCATTGGGGGGTCTTACATGTTCCCCTAACCCTGAGAATAAGGAGGGATGGCTGTACAACTTTTGTAACTCAAACTCCGTGTTACTGTCTGCTTCTGCAGAGCCCAACCAGAAACAAGGGTGACATCAATGGTAGCAAAAATTCTCTACTGTAGGATGGCTGTATATACTTATGTAAGAACATTGCTATTGAGAAGCAAAATAATCTCTAGGTTCTCTGAAAAGTAGCCCACTCTCTGGTTAACCTTTAATTCCTAATGCTTGTTGATTAAATGAAGATTTCTCCCTTCATTTTTAGCTCATGAATTAAGTAATATAGAACCTGAAACCTCAAACCACAGTTGTGAACCAGTATTCAAACTCAGGTTTGTCTGACTCCAGATTCCCTGTCATTCCACTTGATGTATGCAGTATTACACCACAGTTCCTCCCCATTAGAAATGGGGAGTCAGATTTGCCAGGCAAGCAAGCCCCCAAGAGAGTAATTCACAGTGCCATCATTTCCTACAATGTTCCTGTGGGAAAATGTTTGACCCAATTTAGGACAGACACTGAGACAAACATAGCTCTTTCTCCTTGTCCAAAACACATTAGAAATCCTCCATAGGATTCTCCCAACCTTTTGTCCTGGCCACCAGAAAAGAGGGTCTCTATAGCTCTAAGACAAAGAACATAGCTCAAATCCTAATAGAAAAGTAGAGGAAGTAATAAGCAAGAGATTATGAAAACTGAGCTGGGAGCATTTGAGTTCTTGTTCTCTGGCATATGTCATCAGTTTAGCTCAAATAAACTCTTATAAAAATTCAAAAAAAAAAAAGAACAAGAAAACTAAGCTACTTTTTTCATTTCTTCTTCATTAAGATTCTTTCTATACTGTTAACTACTTTTATATAAAAGATGGGTTTCTCTTTTACCTAGCTCACTGCACAATAGATGAAATCAGCCAATTCCCCAATATACACCTGTTCCTGAAACATGTATGACGGCATCCTGAAACTTACAATAAATTAACAAAGGATAAACACAAAAAGAAGAAAGTACTCTTTCCAATCCCTCCCTTTCTCTTTTGTTTCATCAGTTCCATACAAATGCAGGCATGTGTACCTCAAGGACCAATGTTAATACTGAAAAGGAAAAATTCACTTAGAAAAAGAGATGTTTTTAACATGTAAAAAATTCTCAATCTAAAGATCGGTAGCAAACTAGAACTTGGAAGCAAGTTAAGAATGAAGCAAAAGGCATCCACATAATATCTAGATGAGAAAAATACACTGATTTCCAATCCTGATTCAGGCATTTAAAATTAGCATGACAATCATTTAGCAAACATTTACTGACAGAAATCTAAGCACCAGACAGAGTGGCTATATATACAGTGGGAATTTAAAAAAAAAACACAAAAAACAAAAACCTCACAGACACAGAGAACAAACTGGTGGTTGCCAGAGGCAAGGAGTGGGAGGTAGGCAAAGTGGATAATCATGGTCAAAATGAACACACTTCCAGCTATAAGATAAATAAGTGCTGGGGATCTAGCATACAGCATGGAGACTATAATTAATAATACTGTATTGTAGGGGGAAACCCCAAAATACTGGAAATTTATTTATAAAAAAATTGTGTATTTATTCTTATATGTTTAAACTTCAGTCACCTTCAAATTACTCTTCATTTAATGCAATATACCTATCGAGACATATTTTCCAGTACTCAAAAACCGTTTTTGAACTCATCAATTTTGATGCCTTTTAGTGCTTCTGCCATTTTTTGTTTCACCTCTTCCATAACTGCAAACTGTTTCCCTCTGAGGACTATTTTCATCCAGGAAACAAAGAGAAAGTTGCTTGGGGCGAGATCTGGTGAAAAGGGAGGATGGGGCATGGGAGCCCTGCCATTCTTTGGTCAAAAACTACTGAACAGTCCGTGCAGTCGGGGCAGGTGTGCTCGTAAATCACCCATCAAGAAACGGCAAAAATGTTGAAAGAGTATTCAAAAAAAACTTCACAGAAGCCTAACGCAGCCTCTCACGACAATGCCAGCTGGTACACTGATACAGATGGGTTCCTAGAACACTCACCTAGTGGAAGAAGCCTGTACTAGAAGGGGCCTGCCTTCCAGAAGATAATTCCAGTTTTTTGAGGGGGCCCCATCATATATGCAAAAGTTGCTAAGAAAGATTTTAAAAGTCCTCACCAAGAAAAAAATAGTAATATTATGTAATGATAAGTGTTAACTAAACTTACTGTGATCATTTTACAATATATATATCTCTCTCTCAAACCATTACATTGTACACCTAAAATTAATACCATGCTATATGTCAATTACATCTCTTTAAAAAACAAAGCAAAATAACATTGGAGTTTAGAACAGGCTGTGAAATTAGACCAAAAAAAGGGTACAAATCCTATATCCAGCAATTATGAATGACTTAGGAAAAATTACCATATTTTGCCAATTAAAATGTGAACTTTTTTGCCCAAACTTTTGAGGGAAAAATAAGGATATGCACTGTACATAGGTAGTACTACTTCTGTACCTACATAAATGTTTTTAATTCTTTTATTTACGCTTATGTGTTAAAAGTTTCACTCTAGAAAGCAATAACAATATCCATATGCAAAATAATACCCTGGAATATGATAATCAGTTTTGTTTCTAGATGTAAATAAACAATTGAATTAAAAAAATTAAAACAAAGGATTTTTTTTTCCCTGAAAGTTTGGGCCAAAATATGTGGGTGCGCATTATACACAGGAGTGCGTTATACACAGCAAAATACAGTTATCTCTTGTGTGTAGCACTTTAACATCTGTGAAATGCAGACAATAATAATACCAACATCTCAGTAGTGTCTAATACTTGATAGATGTCTGGCTACATTTTTAAAAAATGAAAAAACTTATGTGTAGAAAAGACAAAGAAAATACAACAAACTTTTAGGACAATTTGGGTGATAAAATTTTGAATTTTTTCAACTCTTTTTTCTTTTGCTCCTGATCTTACAAACACTTGACAGCAGGTATTGGTTTCATGATAGAAAAGACACAGGCTTTGAAAGTTTTAAGTGTGTGACACACCTGGAATCAGCTAAAAAACACCTAATAGTTTAAATACTAGTAATCCAACTTTTCAGAAGAAGCTTAAAGTATTACACATGAGAAAACCAAAGAAAGGGTGACAATCATTTTCAAAGCTCCAATGAATCAGGGAACATGATTTTCTGAATTTATGATCCTATACACATAGAAAGTATAACATTTTATATTAGGAAAAAACTGGCACACCCAGACTAGCTAAAATAACTGATACAAAGTCAAACTGACCCACAAACTAGTGGTAGAACACCAAGATAAAAACGTTCTTGCCTTTCCATTCTACCTTTATGCCTCTCACTGTTTCTTATGAAATAAAAAACATTCCAAGAACACTTTCCATTTTAAATATTCAAAATCCTAAAGGGAAATAAGAATAAAGTAGCCCAAGGTTCCGTAGGTTTTTAAGAAAATAAACATTCCTTCAGCACTCCCTTTAGATCTAGAAATAACTGAAATATACAAGGAGTCTGATAAAATATAAAATACAAGTATTTGAGAAATTGCATTTTTACTAACTCACAGATCTTTTATATTTTTGTTGGTAATGTGCCATAACATCAAAAGTAATATAATGTATTTGTTTATTATATTTTATAATTTAGAATAATCTTTTCTACTAGACTATGGAATAAACATAATATGGGTAGTTTTGAGGGGGAAAAAAATGATTAATTTTGCTCAAGCACCACACAGAAAAAATAAAAGTAAAGCTAAATTACTTATAAGAGTTCAGCTAACCCTGCCCAAAACTTCACAATGAGAGTTACACATGAAAATCATGGGCCTGTCATTAAAAAAATTAAAAGAATAGCATTGTCTTATATGATTTTAGTATTTATCTAACTATAGAGAATTGAATGAAATGAACTCTAAGTCCCTTGCAGCTTCATAGTTTTTCAAATAAACCAAAGCAAAACCAAAAATCTACAACCCCAGAGGAACAATGGTAGAAAAATACACTAGCAACCACATGGCTCTATAGAAAACCCTGTAAGGTCTTAATTCCTTATTTTCAGGATTGAAATTTAAATAAAAAAACAAAACAAGCAAACAATAAACATTAACAATGTACTTGGAACAAAGAACAAATCAGAAGTTTTAGATATAAAATTTATTTAGCTAATCAGAAGTACCTGAAAAAATCATAATACACATAATCGAAAAGAATTACTACAAAACTAACATATACAAATTTACCTTTATCTTACTGTGCACATCAAAGATATCTGGGATACTACCAAATATAGTCTTAATCTCTTCTGGTGCAAGGATAGGCCCACCACGTTGTCCTTCTTCTTCCAGTGGTACCTGAAATAACTAAAAGGTGAAAAAAAAACCAAAACACTAGTTTAGGTACATTGTGTGTTGGGGGCGTGGGGCAGCTAACACACCAACTAATAAAGTGGAGATGAAATGTTAATGAAAAAAAAAATTTTTTAACTTCTCTTTAAATTTAAGACTTTTTTCCCAACATTTCCTGTTAACTTATGTATCTCTGTATATGTATTCTTGTAATAAAATGTTATGTCAAAATCTAATTAAAATTTATCACAGTTCTACAAATCATTAAAATTGTTAGCATAATACAAGAGTAATTTCTATTTTTATTCAAGTTTCTAAGGAAGACAGCAATAAGTCATCAGTTATTCAAGACTTATACTTAATATAAGTACAAAATGTTTTTAAATAGTAGGCACAGTAGCTTGGTTTAGGGGAAAGAGACTAGATTTGAAGCAGAAGACCTGCTTATATCAATCTAAAAAAAAAAAAAAATAGCTCCTAGAACTAATATGTGCATATAGAAAAGTCAGAGGATACGAGGCCAACATGCACATGCACACACACATACACAAAGGACATAGACACGTCAATCATATTTCTATATACCAGTAATGTGCAAAGGAAACCAAAATTTAAAACATATCATGTACAATAAAAAAGTAAACTACTTAAGCGTAAACAAATAGATCCTCAAATAACAAAATTTCAGTATAATATTGCTATGGATGCCATAGGAACTTAACTCATTTATATCAATTAGTTTATGGTAAAACTGGTTTTATTATATGTCGTATTGCTTAAAGTCACAGAACTTGATCGATGATGTTAAGTGAGGACTTACTATAATAAAACATATACATGATTCTGAAAAGTAAGGATACTGATCGAAGATCTAAGTAAATGAAGACATATATGGATATGGATTGAAATATTCAACACAGAAAAAATGTCAATTCTCCCCCAAGATGCTCTATGGATTTAACCCAATACCTATCAAAATTCAGGACATTTTGTAAATGAAGAAAACAGAGTTCTAAAAATGTATATGGAAAGGCAAAGGAACTTCTTAGTACTGAAAACTGCAGTATTCAAGACTGTGTGGTATTGGAGAAGAGAGAAACATGCAAGATCAGTAGCAGAGAACAAAGTCTAAGAACAAAGCCACACAAATATGAAGTAATTTTTGACAAAAGTACAAAAGCAATTCAATGGAGGAAGGCTAACTATTCAACAAATGGTATGAGAACATCATTTACCATAAGCAAAAAACTAAACCCCAGCCTAAATATAACTACAGTATGATCTATAAGGGAAAAAAATCTAATAAATTAGACTTCAACAAAATTAAAAACTCTTTCAGCAAAAGGCTTAGAATAAGAAGACATGCTGTAGACTAAGACAAAGTATTTGCAAAGCACATACTTACAGAAGAGCAGTATCCAAAATATAAATAAAAATAAAAATATACAATTCTCAAACTCAGAACAACCCAATTAAAAGTAATGTATTGTTGGGTTCTTAATATATGTAGAAGAGAACTACAATAATAGCACAAAAGCAAGGAGGAAATGAATGGAAATTTAAAACACAAGAGACATCCGGCCAACATGGCGACATAGGTAAACATGCTTTGCCTCCACACACAAGTACAGCAAAAATTACAACTAAACTACAAAAGAAACATCAACCAGATTCCTCAGAAAATCGAGCTGTATGAAAGCAAAACAATCAAGGATTTAAAGAAGCCACACTCATCCAGAAGGGTAGGAGGGGCAGAGACCCAGAGATGCAGAGAGGCAGCAGAAAGAGTGGTCCCACATTCATGTGCAGTGAATTAAAATTGGGAGGGATAACTTAGGAGTGAGCCATATCAGCCCCAGACCAGACCACCCAGCCCAGGGTTCCAGCACCAGAAAGATAAGTCCCTATAACTTCTTGCTACAAAAAACCATGGAGGTTGGGGCAGCAGAAGAAACTGCAGGATTCTCAAGACACTTCTCTTAAAGGGCACAGAATGGACTTACAACTCACGCAGACACACCCCTCTGGGATCCAGCACCAGGGTAACAACTGGTAGGGCACAAATGGCATGTGGGGAGAAGGGGAGGAAGTGAACTGACTGGCAAGGCAGAGAGTGCTAGGGAGAGAGCTTCCTCTTGGGCAATATCCAGAGGCCAGGCAGCAGCACTGTCCCCTCTTAGCCTCCCCAACACAGAGCCAAAGAATGGTGAAATGGGTGGCCTGCCCTAGCGACTACCTAAAGCTCCACCTGACACAAATTACAGGTGCTGTTTCTACAACAGGCCACTAGTAAGACAGGGAGTCAAAACACCTTTACCTAATACACAGAAACAAACACAGAGAGGCTGCCAAATTGAGGAGACAAAGAAATATGGCCCAAATGAAAAAACACAACAAAACTCCAGGACGAGAACTAAATGAAATTGAGGTAAGCAACCTATCAGATGCAAAGTTCAAAACACTCATAATCAGGATGCTGAAAGAAATTGTTGGGTCCTGCAACAGCATAAAAAAAGACCCATGCAGAAATTAAGGTAGCATAAGGAAATAAAGAAAAAGCCACAGGAACCTACAGTGGAGGGCAAGAAGCCAAGATTCAAATCAACAATTTGGAACATAAGGAAGAAAAAAGCATTCAAGCAGAACAGCAAAAAGAAAAAAGAAAAAAAGAAAGAAAGAATAGAATAGAATAGAATAGAATAGAATAGAATAGAATAGAATAGAATAGAATAGAATAGAATAGAATAAGGAGCCTAAGGGACATTTAGAATGGAAGAGCAGATAAAGTGTTTCCCATACAAGGTAAAGCTAAAGGAGTTCATTGTCCCCAAGCCATTATTATATGAAATGTTAAAGTGTCTTATCTAAGAAAAAGATGATGATCAAAAGTACATTAAAATGACAACAAATTCACAACTATCAACAACTGAATCTAAAAAAACAAACTAAGCAAACAGGCAGAACAGGAACTGAATCATAGGTATGGAGATAATCTGGAGGGTTATCATCTGGGAGGGAGAAGTGGAAAGGGAGAATGGGGAGAAAGGTGCAGGGATTAAGCAGCATAGTTGGTGGGTAAAAAACAGACAGGGGAATGTGAAGAACAGTATTGGAAATGGAGAAGCCAAAGAACTTAAATGCAAGACCCATGGACATGAACTAAGGAGGGAACTGTGGGAGGGAATGGGATACCAAGCAGAGGCAAGCAAAGAGGAAAAATTGGGACAAGTGTAATAGCAAAATCAAAATATATTTAAAAAGAAACATGAAAAGAAAGTACATTTTAAATATAGATAGATAGATAGATAGATAGATAGATAGATAGATAGATAGATAGATAGATTGATTCAGGCCTTCCAATTCTCGAAGTATGGTGCGCTCTTACCTGCTGGAAACAACTGAAAATACTAGAGAAAACCCTCTTTCTAGCTGACAAAAAAGGAAGATACCTTCCAAGGCCAAAATCTAAGTAAAGGTGGAGAGTTGAATATAAAAACCAACTTTTGCCCGAAGGACATCTGCCTGAACTAATGAAAGTTAAGCTTCACCTATGAAAACCTCTGGCACAGAAAACTGGCACTGACCCTAGTTTCCAACATATTATCAGCTTCCAATAAAGTTAAAGGTCCAAGTTTTTACCCAGACTATGTTCTCAAGGAGACATGAATAAGAATATTCAAAGCAAACTAAGAGTAAAAACCAAAACACTAAAACTTAATTCCAAAGTCCATTAAAAACAAAAGTTAAATAATCTGATTCATTCATATAGAAAAAATAAATTACAGACACATGCAACAACACAGATATGTCTCAAGAACATTACTCTCAAGTGAAAAAACAAATCACTAAAAATATATAAATATGATTACATTTATACAGTTTGTTTTCCTATATATATGCAATAGATTTATAAAGTAAATAAGCAGAAAATTCCAGATGATGATTATTCTGAGAGAGGTCAAGAAACCCAAGAGGTTCCAATGATATTTATACTCATTTATAAACATTCCTTCACCTAATCAATATTTAAAAATCCTGAAAAATATTCAGATAATCAAAATACATCAAGTTTCATTAAAAATCTTTTAATAGTCTTAAAATAAGCCATCCAAAAACAGTTCTGTGTTTGCTTTTAATCTCCATATAAAAACCAGGCAAAACCTATTGATTCTACTTTTCTAGTATATATCCTCTTTTCACTGTCACTGCTACTACCCTAACAAATTCAGAGCCTCTAAATCTAAACAAGACTACTAAAATTACCTCCAAACTGGTCTCCTTGCCTCCACAAATTCCCCTCTTTAATACCTCCTTCAAAATGAACCAAGATATCTTTCTAAAATGCAAGTCAGATAATATCGTCTTCCCATACTATAGCTTTCAGGTGATAGAGCATACTAAACAAGGGCCTTCCCCAGTATGGCACAGGCAATTTTATCTCAACTCTCACCGTATCCACACCCCATCCCCTATCCTGGTCCCTTCATACCACTCTGAACTCTTATCCCCCTAGACTACTGTCAACAGTTTGCACAACGGACACCTTCAATCATCTGTATTGTTTGCAAAATCTCATATATACTTCCCATCCATATTCTTTGCATGTACCAATCAGACTCATCCTTTATAATCCAGTTCAATTTTTTCCTTTATGATGCTTTCCCAATATTCAACATATCAAAACTTTCAATGCAACACCTTTCCTATGCTGGAAGAGAACTAAAACTCACCTCACAAATCTCCAAATATCTTAACTAAAACTCCTCATGACACTTATAACCTTCCACTTGGTATTATAATTTGGTGTGTATATTCTAGCTCCTCTTTCAGTCTATGCTCTTTTAAAACAAAAGTGCTCTTTAACTCCTGGCACAACATTAATTTACAATAATATTACAAATTTTCCTAATATTATGGAATATTTTATATTCTTCTATATTATATTCTGGATATTCATTTAATTTGGAGGTTAAGTTAAAATTAAGTTACTCCAAATTGAATTTCAAAAAACAGAGAACATACCAGTCCTAAAGTAAAGCTCCTAGAAAACACTATCATAAATTTTGACCACAATCTCTTAAATAAAACCTTAGGTGAGTTTATACTAAGCTTAGTAGTATGAAATTTTGTGTATAGTTTAATAATCGCAAGGGCCTTTTTTAAAAGGAGTTCTGGTGAATTTAATTGATATTCAAATTAGAATTCTGAAACTCTCTGAAACTCCAGTGCATCTACCATGGCGTGAAAGGATTTACATTTCTAGGTAATAAATGCAACCAAAGTACATGAAGAGTATATGCCAAAAGGATATTGTTACTCAACTACATTTTGGCTGAATACAAAAACTTAAACAAGAAAGTCATCCAGTATGGTATTTCCCTTGAAGGAGAAGAGAACTGACTTAAAACAAGTAAAGTTTAATACAGCTGAGGGCCTCATAAAACCTTTACTACTGCTAAACAAATCAATTGTGAAGAATAACCTTTCTTCATTACTATCAAGAAAGGAGCCTTTCCATTTCTTATCCATTCCTTATCATTATCTTTCTATTCAAAAACAAGTTCAATGGTATTAACTTTATTTTCCTAACACTCTATCTTCTTCATTACCTAAAACAAATTTATTCCTTCTACAGATTCCAAAATAATGTCCTATTATTATGTCTTTCAGAACCTTGATTTTCGATTTATTCCTTAACATGCTTCAATCTCATATTACAAGGATTCATTAGAATTGTTTTTCTTCAGAAATAACTCCGTAGTACATGTTAATAGCAGTAAGCAGTGCATTAACATATATTTATGATCAATTACTACAAAGTTTAAGAAAACCTGGCATATGAAAGGATTTTTTTAATTATTGCTATCCATCGTATTATACCTCATTGCTCTTGCTTTATCACATATGTACAGCACTGCCTAAAGCAACGACTCACACACTTTCAGAAAAAGTTATCTACCACTTCCAAATATAAATGCAGCGTCTTGAAAAGGAACCCACAAAGCTGTGAATTAAACTTGGCCCTCTCTATGATCATCTAATCAGGATTCTTCTCTCTTTAAAGTCAGTCTCAAAAACGGTGCCATTTCTGCATGAATAAAAGCTCACCCCGGCCGGTGTGGCTCAGTGAACTGAGACCGGCCTGTGAACCAAAAGGTTGCCAGTTCAATTCCTAGCCAGGGCACAGGCCTTGGCTGCAGGTCAGGTCCCGAGTTGGGGGCATGAGAGAGGCACCTGACTTGATGTGTCCCTTGCACATTGATGTTTCCCTCTTTCTTCCTCCCTTCCCCTCTCTCTAAAAGTAAATAAATTAAATCTTTAAAAAAAGAAAAAAGCTACTATTACAGTTATGCCATTTCCCTAGCAGCAGTTTTTCTCACACACTTTCATTTTTACTATGTTCAAATCCTATTATATAATTTTTCTTGTAAGAAATAATATATCTCATTTTTTTACTTAGTAACACTGGAGGAGAAATCATTTTGCAACCAACTCTTACCTGAATAATTGTGGCCAATATATTTACATAATTACTTTCAGTCTGATAGAGCTCTTTTGCAACTTGCCACCTGGCTGACTGCTTTGAAGGAACAGGAGTGGAACTTTTGGAAGACTTAGTACAAGACTTTGGTGTTTCTAAAAGGTAAAAATGAGGAAAGATTTAAAATGCAGGCCAGATACAACTACCAAACATTGCAGATTTAACAGAAAAAGGGAAGGAGACCAACTCCTGTAAATATACCACTATACAGATTTTCATTAAAGTAAAATTTCCTAAGATGACACCAAAAAAAATTGTTAAAAACATCAATGACTCCAAATTGACAGGCATTTTACTGAATAGCTTGTATCCTTCAAAAATGTCATGGTCATTATTAAAGATTGAGGAACTAGTCTAGATTAAAGGGGACTAGAAAAAGATTATGTAACCTGTGATCCTAGGCTGGATCCTGGACCAGAAGAGAAGAACTTTTTTCTTTTGCTGGAAAGGACATGAGGACATTGATGGAACAACTGATAAAATCTGAAGTATTAATGTTAATTTCCTACTTGATACAAGAAATGTCCCTATATTTTGAGAAATACAAATGTAAGCATTTAGAGGTAAAGGAAAAACATATCTGCAACGTATCCTCAAAATATTCCACATATTAAAAATTGTGTGTGGAAAAATAGAGACAGAAAGAATATAAATGAATGAATGAATGAATATTAACGCTAACATAGCAGAATATATCCTTTTGGGAAATCTTAGAGAGCAGAGAGAACTGTACTATTTTTGCAGTTTTTTGCAATCTGAAATTATTTCAAAATAAAAAGCTTAAATAATAAAATGAAAAGCAACATGTAGACACATTTAAGTTAAAGGAGGAAAATGTTATTATGATTACACAATTACAATAATAGAAAACTTTTTATACGTGTGTATGTATACATATGGAGAAAGACTCCCTCAAAAAAAACCCAAGATCAACTGCAAATTCTTTGTAAGTTCAAAGTATCCAGTCCAGCCCAAGGTGCAGGGAGGATGCTTTAATATATTTTTTAAAAATTTTTAAAGAAATTTTATAAAAACTTAAAATATATTTTCTTGCTATCAATATGGTTAGACTATTTAAACATTATATAGAGAATCTCCTAATAGAAAGTTTCACAGTAAAAACAGGAATGGACAACATATAATAGAATGATGTGAAAAAAGATACTCTCTAGTGCCAGCACACCAAGTTTATGCAATGAAAAATCATCTTAAGCATATTAAAACAAGGACATGTACTAGGGAGTTTTCAATGCTTTTGAACAATAACAGACTTTCAAAGAATTTCTCACCTGCCATGTTACTTCAGGTTACTGTCACCAGACTGAGAAGCCTCTGCTATGAAAGGATACTTTGGGGACGGTGGGCAAGGGGGGGACCAACATATATGGATCTAATTTTATTACTATGTTTAGGCAGTGATCGACAAACAGGAATTCTATTATAGAATCTCTATTATATTAGTATTGTCATGTCTCATATTGTTTAGTGGTTCATTTCCCTTTCCTGTGCCCTATACTACGTAATCAAGCTTCAGTCCTTTATAATCAGCTCTTACCGCCCCATGCCCATTATGTCCATAACTACAGAACCAGTAAGATTCTCAGATTTACATATCTAATCATAATTCCCTACACAAGCACCTGACTGAACTTTTCCAAATGGCTACTGGACATCACTACCTCAATTTAACTTGGATGGTCTCTAAAATTCACTATCTCCCTTCAAAATATAAACTTGCTCTTTTTGCCAAGGTAACATTTTTCTCACTATATACTTCGCTGTCTTCTCCTCTTATTCCCTTCCTATCACTCCATTCTATCAATATCTTCCCAATGCTCTTCTCTTTGCAATCCTGGTTGAGGGCCCTATCATGTGTGGCCCAAGTCACTGTAGATTACTTCATAGTCCGGCTATCTCTAAACTGCCTTCCTTCAGATCATTCTTCAGAATAACCCACTACAAATAATCTATTCAATTAGTCTGCTGCTCCAGATTTCCTAATGTTCCCTGTTGATGACAATATACTGTTCAGAAATGCTAATCTGATTACAAAGTCCTCTAATATTAGGCCTCAATTAACCTTTCTAATTAATTATTACTCCTCATTATTCCAAGCAAACTGACTCAACACTATTCCCTAAAAGCTGTGTTCCTGCTCCTCTTCTCAAATCCACCTCAGTTTTCTGGACCTACCTTAAAATGACTTTGATTGCATGAATATTTAGCGAGTACCTACTCTGTATTAGGCACTGAGAATAGAGCAAAGAGTAAAATAGATAGGTTCTTTTTCTCTTAAAGCTTATATTCTAGTGAAGCTAATAAAATAAAGTAAATATATATATAACGTTTAACAGTGATAACTACTTCTGAAAACAACAGGTGATGAGTTGGTAGGAAGGAGTGGTAGAACAGAGGCTGAGCATTACAGAGAACCCAACAGAATTTCTTTAAGACAGAGAAAGCAAGTATAATATCCCTGGGCTACGGATATAGTAGAAATACTTAAAGAATAACAAAGATAGTATGAGTGAAGCTTAGAGAGTATCACGGGAGAGCATGATACCACATGAGGTTAGAGGTAGGTGAGGAAGAACTACACAGGAACTTGAAAGCTATGGTAATACAAAGCCACTGAATGGCTTTAGGCAGAGTGGCATGATCTAATTTTTTTTAGTTTTACAACCACTGTAAGTGCTACATCTAGAAAGGCAAAAATGGATACACAGAGGCCATTTAGGAGACCACTGAAATTGTCTAAGAGAGATCTTTTCTACAGAAGTTGATAAAAGATGATAAAAGTTGATAAAAGAAGAGTGTTCAGAGTGGTAGAGAAAATCAAAAGGTCTAACTTGATTATGTTAAGTTCAAGATAGGGACAAGGAGGTATGAAGTAGGTTCCTGGAGAAGGATGACAAATTTTGGAGTCATCAGAATATACATGTTGTTAAAACCATGGAATTAAATGAAATTATTTAGAGAATTAAAATAGAGAAGACACAACCCAAGAATAATATTCAACATTCAGAGTGGGAGGGAGAAGCTAGAGAAATGAGTAATATGCAAAAGCCAAGGAAAAAACTGTGACCAGGAATAAGTAACTGTTCATGTGTTGAATGCTGCTGATTGCATAAAAACTGTCATCTCCCCAACAAGAGGCAATTTCACATGGCGGGGGGTGATGAAGTTCAACAGGAATGGGTTGAAAAGACAATGAAAAGCAAGGAAATGAGACAATGGCTCTTTGAAGAGTACTCATGTGAAAGGGAAGAGAGAAAGGGGACAAGTGAAGAATTTCATGACATCAAGGTAATCTAGAAAGCACAACATGTTTGTTTGCTGACTACAAAACAAAAAATTGATTGAAAGGGAAGAGTTCATTGTAGAACCTTTTTTGTATCAGTTGAGAACAAAGTGAATTCACCTCTTCTGACTTTGTTGTACCCATCTTCCCCATAATACATCTGTGATTTTGCTGAGCTAGTGCAAAGAATTTGCTCTTTGAATATCTCCATCACTTTCTGATGGGTGACCCTAAACGAGTTATTTCTCTAACTTCAGTCTACTCATCTGTAAAAGAGAAGAAATAAAAGCTATCTTATAAACACACAAAATATAAAAAGCACTTAGCACATAGTAAGCAATCATTAAACAGAAGCATTTCTATGTCCTTTTTCTCCTCAGCGAGAATAAAATTAAAAAGCCTCTCATATTCACTATAACAGATTTATCAATACTTTAATAGCCATTCCATTCCACTAAAGTTTAAAGAAAATTTTTTAAAATGTGAATTACCTCCATAGTTAATGCTAGAGTCTGGCGTGTTGGAGATATCTAGGAGCGACCCTATAGAAAGGGAATGTTCAGCCGACGGGCGCTTCCGGGGAGGGAAAGGTGACAGGTCTGACTCTCTCGAGAGCTGAGCCAGTGCCTCTTTCAAACGACGTCTTTTGCGATTGCTGTTTGGAGTATTTAGAGAAAGCAGTGACACTGATTTCTTGAGCTCAGGTGTATTAGCCTGCAATCAAAGGTACAAAAGCTCAATTTCACTTCCATGGTTTTTTACTGAGACAGGAACAAAAGAAAAATACATTTATGAGTCTGACAAAACCTGGATTTCGCACAATTTTACAGCTATATACCCTGCCAGGTAATTCAGAATCTTCATAAAACATAATAGTCAGGAGACCACTGTAATTGTCCAACTCCTAGCACCTCATTCTTTTTCTTCATAGCACTATCACCATTACACACTCATCCATAAGCTTGTTTACTGTCTATTCTCCAGTTAGGACACAAACTCCCGGCAGGGAGGAACCATTCATATTTCATTCACTGTATCCCTAACATTTAGCAGAGTGCTGGACACAGCGCTCCAATATTTGTCTAATAACACTTAATTTTAAGAGCTCTTTCTCAATATCTAAAACATTTTTAAACTTTATGTTAAGAACCTAACATTGAGAAGAGTCTGAAAAGAATACAATACCCGCCTAGCTGGTGTGGCACAGTGGATTGAGGGCCAGCCTGGAACCAAGGGGTTGCCGGTTCTATTCCCAGTGTAGGGCACATGCCTGGATTGCAGGCTGGCTCCGCAACACGGGGCACACAAAATGCAACCACACACTGATGTTTCTCTCCCTCTCTTTCTCCCTCTTCCCCTCTCTAAAAATAAATAATTTTTTTTTTTTTTTAAAGAATACAATGCCTACCTGGGTACATTTTATGGAACACAACAAATCCACACTTCATCACCAATATCTATTCAAAATTATTAAATCCCAAACTGAAGTAAATCTTTCCTTAAAGCCTGCTTCTATAGCTTTATGCCACATTTTGGTGAAATACCACTCCTTCTTACCAAGATCCAGCATGAAGGCTGGATTCTCCTTGCCTACATTCTACTGTAACATTCATTTTTTTTTTAAATGACATCTTTCCCCTTAATATTAAATGGCTACCAATACTTATAGAATAAAATCTAAACCTCTACAACATTATAAACTTCTTAATTCTGCCCACCTAGTAAGCTTTATCTGTTGGCCTTGGTTCCCATATTCTTTTTTAAAGCCATACTAAAGTACTTGCTATATTAATACACTTTCAAGTTTCCATACCCATTCCTGCCTGCTGCTTTACTTACATGTTCTTACTGGATTAGTCTAGTAAGTTGACTCAATATTCATTTGCTCTTTTAAATACTGCCTGAGTCTCTCAGAATGAGGCTGGTTAAAATACATTACTTTATTATAATATACATAATTCTGCACTGTAACTGTTTACATATCTAACTTTCCCTTAAGATTTAAGTTTCTAAAGATAGGGATATTACTGTTCATAATAACATCACCAAGTGTTAGCAAAGAATGACATATATGAGATTAAAATAACATCATTACACTGAGTGTTTTCACCTAAATATATATAGACTACTAGTCAACATTCAATTGTTCTCAAACTCCTAAACGTGATGTAGATGACCTGCAGGCTAATATACCAAGCTCTTTCTGGTTAGAAAAATGTCATCTTTATACAATCCAATTCACAGAACAAATGACTAAGGTACTAACAACAAAGCATACCTTTTCAAATAAATACATAGTTTCTCCAGCTCGGGCATCCATTTGAATGCTTCCCCAGAACCACTATGTGAGAAAAAGAACATCTTAATTAAGAAATCAACTTATCAGAAAGCCAACAGTAATATTTCAGAAAACCAATCTCATTTTAGAATTACTTGCCTCTTGCTTGACAACATAAAGTTTCTTTGAAGGTTCAAATGGAAGTTCTTTTACTATATTCTCTTCAACTATAAGGTGAGTGCACCTTTCATCCCCAACTGGTAAATAGCTACCTCCTAAAGGGGAATGCATACAAACATAAATAAGACACACTATCTTCAAACCCAAATTTTTAAAGAGGCATATTGATTAGGCAAGAGTGGGAATAAAATACAAATATAAAACTTTTAAATTATGTTAACTTCTACCTTGCATTTCAGTCATTTCTTCCATATTAGTTTTTTCTTCATCTGAAAATCCCAGAAAACTTAAAATGCAATCTTGAAATGGAGGAACTTTAAATTCATTTCTAAAATCATCAACTGATGCACAGAAATCCCTAAAAACAAAACATAGTCCTCTAAAATCAGTTTACTTAAATTCAACAAATATGGTACATCAGTTTATGATTCTCAAGGTTTTAGCATAACCCATTTATTAAAAATAATTTTACATCTGGTCCTGAAATGTTAACAAAAACTAACATTTTGACAACAGCACTCCCCACCCAAAAAAGTTAAAAAAAAAAAAAGTGACGTGACTTCAGTCATCCTAAATTAATTTCTGACAAAATTTGATCACAGGTAACCTTTACAAGATTCAAATTCCTCTTCTGTACAAGAAATTTTATGTGTATTCCAGGGGTTCTAGCTTCATGAAATCTTAGGTAATGAATAAGTACAACAGCAAGGAATTATGAATTTGGAAAGCTTAAAAGGTTATGAATTGCAATCAGTGTTTAAAATGTAACTAGAGATCGCTTCTCGGCCTTTTGGCTGAGATCCAGTGTAAAATGTAACTAGAAAAACATAAAATTAAAAAAAAAAAATACAATCCAAACATCCAGATTCATGAAGCTATTATTTATCAAATTTATTATTACACAATAATTTTAGGATATTTATGATAATCAAAATTACTTCACAAGTTGAAGTCCAAAAATAACCATAGGGTGTCTTTTAATTTTCAGTATTTCATAATTTTTTATAACTTTGCTCTTCCTAGGTTTTATTTCCTAAGCTACCCAAGACCGAATTCACTTTTTCTAAATTATCTATGCATTTAGGGTTTGGAGCACAAAGGTTTACCTCTATAAGATAGTATGTTTAATTCACATATTGAACTACTGAATTTTTAAACACTTACTGTTCATCTCGCCTTTCCCAAGCTTTATAAATCCATTCTGGCTTCATAATTGGAGTACCCAGGCTCACAGCAATCTAAAAATATAAATGTTAATAATTTTTACTTTAGACAACTGCATTCACAGAAGTTCTAAACAATTATATACATATTTTTTTGCAGTTTTATATCATTGTTCATCTGCTTTGTGACATAATATAAAGAAAAATTAACAGAAAAAAAATGCCAATCATCCAAGTTAGGTTAAAATGCCCTATTTTGCCGTGTATAATGTGCTCCTGTGTATAACGTACACCCACGTTTTTGGCCTAAACTGTCAGGAAAAAATATTTCATTTTAATTTTTTAGTTCAATTTTTTATTTATACATAAATCTGATTATTGTATTCCATGGTATTATTTTGCATAGGGATATCATTATTGCTTTCTAGAGTTGCACTTTTAACATATAAGTAAATAAAAGAATTAAAAACATTTATATAGATAAGGTATTAGTACTACCCATGTATAAGGTGAATCCTTACTTTTCCCTCAAAAACTTGAGCTAAAATGTGAGCATTATACATGGCAAAATATGGTAACTTTAAAACAAATTCCATAGTGTCCATACAATTTCCTTATTTTACTTTAATATATCTCTGAAGTTGATTAAGTTCACCTTCACTTTTATATTTCATTTCTATTTTCTTCATGTTTACTTTCTTGTGAGAACTGACCCCCAAGACAGCACTATAGAAGAAAACATCTAATTAAGTAACTAAAAACTTCAGCATGAATTAGAAAGGATGAATCCCCAAGAATTCAATATTATACAGAAATTACCATTTACTACATAAATAGTACACTGATGGGAACATGAAAATAGATAAGCCCTTCCTAAAATACATACTGAAGTGTAATCTTAAATGAAGATTTTAATACTAATAAAAGTAAATACCTTCTCCTGTTCTTTTAAATTTTTCACAAGTTAAATCTTAGAACCGTTCTATAAGAACATAGCTCTGCTCTGTTCCTATAAAGACCACTTAGACAAGAGTGAAATATTTGCTCTCATCACTTCTCAACCCCCTCATTCACCAATGCTTATAATAATCTGTTAATATTATTCACCTGCCTGAAATGTTATCCATCTACCAACCTCCACAATCCTACATCTCTGAAGACCTAACTCAATCAAGTTCCATTGCCACCTCCAAACCTGAGACCACACTCCTATGATTTAAAATTTTTACTAAATGTTCACAAAGCAAAAATTAAATATCTGATGTTCAGTAAATTGTAGGAAAAATGGACAAGTGTTATTACTAAATGCATTCCCAAATGATATTATACTGAAATACACAAAAATATCCAAGTTTACGTACCCTGAATTTTTCTCCTTCAGTACAATTTGCCACCAAATGTGTAACTTTTGAATTAAAGTCTTTTCGAATAACTCCACCCATGTGGTGAACCAATGTCACCAATCTGACCTCAAAAGAAAAATTAAGCAATATTGACTTCATAATTAATTTAAACAAAATTTTAAACTATGTTTAAAATTAATTTAGCATTTACTGAATACTTTCTACTTATAAGATACACATAAGGGATTTTTACAAAGATATAAATTTTAATGATAAAAAAATGAAAAATTTGTTTGAATTACTGGCACAGGCAAAATTATATATAACAATCAGCTAGTAAAGATGATCGTACAAACCTTTAATTAAACTGACTTTCACACAGCCTAAAAATATTACTTTTTTCAACATGAGGTTACATCACACCAAGATTCTTCCCATAAAATTAGAGTAGTACTACATTAGCTCTAACATAGAAAATTCCACAAATCAAAGTTTTTATGAATTCTCTAGGGAAATAAGAACACTTTAAGGCTGAACTTGTATCACAAAAAATTGCAATGTGTAAACAAAAACTTCAAATAATATGGCTGATAGGATACTAAACAAAAAAAAACAGTATAAAAGATAAGACAGTTATGAATGTTTCTGTTAATTCATATGCCAAGCATCCTAAACAAAATATTTGTTTCTTTACAAGGCTCTTCAGAATGTTTCTTCACAAAATTTAAAACCTGGTATAGCAATAGTAATTTCTCCTTCAAAACTTTTAAAACTTGCAACCATAATACAATTATCAAATAAGTGCCAATTTAAATTTATTTTGCTGGAAAACATATTTTTTGAATACAAGTTCTGAAATACTTACTAGTTCTTCTTTCTTCCTGAATCCAGTGAAGCAAAGTACTAGATTCATCATGCTTGTACAATAGAGTGGACGACATGAAAATGGCAAAGGCTAAAGAACACAATTTTAAATCTATGAGTTTCTTTACAGTAGAAAGGCAAATACATTGCTCTCAACTTAAATGTATTTTCCCTCTTGCCAATCAACTATCCCAATCCAAAGGTTTACTTGCGTTTTTCAACATGCAACAAAAAATAGCAAAAAAAAAAAAAGATTGCTAGTTTACAATGAAAAAATTTTCCAAAATTCTTAAATCATATTTGATACACATAATCTAAGTATAATTTACAATTTGCAAATTAAACATAAATATATTCAAACCTTTAGTTCCAAAATGTATTGTCATATGTGAAGTATTATCAATAAGGAAGGATTTCTGACTCCACACACTACTTTAAGTGCTTCCAATTGAAGTTAAAACAGGTCAGATATTTATACATACTAGGTATATAACATATACTTGAACCAAATATGGTTCCAACTTTTGAGCTAAAAAAGAACGGAGGTAATCAGTAAATACTTTAACCAATTTAACACACATATATTAGAATGAGAATATATAAATATGTACTTAATTATTTAATATATGTATACTTAATTACCACCATTAAGATTATTTTTCTTAATTTTGGTGTAAAAATTTTATTTGGTTTCTGAAAGCAACATTTCTTAGTCAAAAGAGAATTAAAGATGATGTGCTTATTATTAGCTTCTGTAACCAAAACACTCTATGACTTAGCAATTTTAAATTAATAAGGCAAGTTTAAAAATAGCAAACCATAGCAAATAAAATCAAAGAATAAGCACTAACTCTGCTACAACTCATATATTACGTACATAGTTTGTATTGTTTAACTATTGAAGGTCTTAGATATTGACTACTGTAAATTACAATAGAAATATTAAAGGACCATATTATAGTAGCTACTACTATTCCTATTCTAAATGTTCCATACTCTGATTAATGAAATTTTTCTGTTTAAAAATTTTCACACATTCATTAATAAAAACTTAATTAAAAGCCATAATGAACATATTTTTGTTACCTTTCCTTTTTGTGCACAGTTTAATACAACTGGTGGTCCAATAACTCTACAATCAGTCTTGTGTAACTCATTAAAGACAGGATCCTGGAAGTCCATGACTACGAATACATTTTCGAATTCTGGAGACTCCAAACTTTCATACTGTTCCACTGATTCCATCTTTACAAAGGGCATTTTAATTTCCTAGATTTTTTTCATGTAGTTACAAAAATAAGATTTATATATTATAAAATTAGTTCATATAACTCTCTAAATAAGACCTAAAAACCAATTCACTATCATTTTTAATTTCTATTTATAAAAAAAATTTAAGTATTAAGTCATACAACAATGAGCATTATACTTAATAGTGAACAGCTATTTCTTTAATTGCTTATTTGTATTTTAATATATATCTCCACCTACATTAAGATATTAAATTTTGAAGATTAATTATTATAATGGCATAAACTTCTGACTTAACAGTCATTATAAATCTAGTATGCATATAAAATAAAATGATAAATTTAAGTGTACACATTTCAACAGAAGGATGCATCAGAAACAATGCTTTTTCTTCTGACCACAAAAATGATGCCATACATATGGCTCCTTCTTGTACAAATTAACTGTCATCAGAAAAATAGAAAAACCACAATGGCACTTAATAGCTACAAAAAGGACATAGAGTAACAATCATTTCAGTATATATGAGGAAAGTAAGAGAAAGATGTGAACTATGTAGGTAGTTGCAGCTTGGCAAACACAGGATATAAAAAGACAGGTTATTGTTCACCACTTTATACTGTACATCTATGAAAAAGAATGAAGATTTTTAAGTACCTATACAACTCACATGTAAAAAAAAGAAACACTTAAAATTCTGAATGGGTAAATTATTTGGGTTTTATTTGCTGGGTTGAGGTGATGGGCTGAATTATGTACCCTCAAGATTCATGTTGAAACTCTAATCCCCTGTACCTTAGAATGTGACTGTATTTGACAATAGGGCCTTTCAAGAGGTAGTTAAAGTAAAATGAGGACACATGGGTGGGCCCTAATGCAATCTGTCTCGTGTCCTTATAAGAGGAGGAAATTTGGACACACGACAGGGATAGCAGGTATGTACATGGACAGAAGAAAGGCCGTATGAAGAAACATCAAGAAAGTGGCAGTTATCTGAAAGCCAAGGAGAAAGGCCTCAATATAACTCAAACCTACTGATACCCTGGACTTCTAACCCTAGCAACTGTGAGAAAATACATTTCTGTTGTTTAAGCCACCTGTGTGCGGTATTTTGTTATGGCACCTCTCACAAACTATTACAGCTGGTACAAAGAATTAGATAGATTTCATATGCTGATTGTCAATCATTATAATTTATAATTTTGGAATTAAAGCAAGAATTTAGAATAAATATAGAATTAATGAGAAAAACAATAAAGAATTTAAAGAAAAATATCATACAAGGTCTGTCCGGGATAAGTCCAGCCACTGTTAACATAGCGAGAACAGTTTGTGCAACATCAATGTAACCTGGCGGCCAAGGAGAAGAGAGAACTTGAATGTGCATGCGTGAACAATGACGACTTCACTGAGTGGGGGTGGTAGATGTCGCTGAGTGAGCATGTGTACTGTGTGGCCGTCACATTCAAAAATGACCGAGTAGAGGAACGTATCTGCACCAAATTTTGCGTTAAGCTTGAACATTCTTTCTTGGAAGCTGTTCAGATAATTGAGAAGGCCGCAGCTATGGGCAAGTGGTGACTGGCAGCTTTAACAGATAATGCACCTGCTCAGGCATCACGTCTTGTGCAGGGTTTTTTGGTGAAACATCAAATCACCCAGGTGACTCAGCCCCCCTACAGCCCAGGTGCGGCGTCCGATGACGTCTGCCTTTCCCAAAAGTAAAATCATCTTTGAAAGGGAATTTCAGACCATCCAGGAGATTTAGGAAAATACGATGGGGCATCTGGGGGCAACTGGGAGAACTGTGTGAGGTCCCAAGGTGCCTACTTTGAAGGGGACTGAGGTATCATTGTCCTATGTACATCATTGTACCTTGTAGTACAAACAATGAAGATTCTTCAATAACTGTCTCTATTTTTCATAGTGCATGGCTGGATACTTTCTGGACAGATCTCATATCTTTGTAAATACATGATATGTCATTTAAATTTAACAATGCCAAATTACTTAATAAGGATTTCATTATTTGCAGTAGATGCTATAGTCTGGGGCTTCAGAAACACCCAAATTTTAAAATTAAATATAAAATTGTTTCTATTCATCTAGCTTCAGAGCATACAATATACCTTGTACCTAATTTAGGTCCAATCACCGTAAGTGAAATATAAGACTACAATCAAGGGAAGTGCAGCATGCCACATGCAATGAAGTGCTTGACCTACCATATTAACAATACTTTTTATTAATTTTTCATCCGATTTTCCAGGACAACTTTCTTTTATTATTACAGGGACATCCATTATTTTAATAGTCTGTGGAAAAAAGACTTAAGTATGAGATTAAGAAAACTATAAATCTATTTACACACTGATGGAACAAAAACAGCCTTTTTAAAAAAACTAAAACCCCATACCTTTAAGGCTTCTATAAGTTCTTCTTGTTTCCCAGCTTCTTGAACCAATATCACTCTTGTCTCAACCTGAGGCATTTCTTCTATTAAAATTAGAAATGTTTGAATATGTTTATCAGGAATTAATATCAGAATCAGTAGTTCCTAATCCCTTTTTGTCTACATCTGTTATGTTTTTCATCTTTGAGACCATAACATCCTCTAAAATTAAAATTACTTAATTCCCAGTTTATTAAAAAAAAAAATTTGGCCATATATCATTTGAAGGAAGAGAAAATATATTGTACCAGAATATACAAACATCAGCACTATTCCTAACCAAAGAAAGCATGCACTGTCTTGTATAGTTATCCTCTTCAACACTGCAAGCAACTTTAGGAAAGGCCCATTTACATAGTGGAGTAAGGGAAGAAGCATGTTTTCACCTAACCAGATAGAGCTGAATATAATCTAGCTAACAATGTTACAGCTGCATTGCCCTCACACACAGAAAAAGCAATATCCAACAAGATGACGACTTCCCCTTCGAAGCTGGGAAGCATTAATTCAAACAATAAACAAAAATCTACATAGTGTAAAAAGATTTTGTCAACAAATATTTACTAAATATCTGTACTCTAGCTTAACACTGTTACAGTTAAATCTTAAGCAGTCTCTAGTCAGTAAGTTTAGGAAAAATACTGATTTGGTGTTTTAAAGCACATTTACCTTCAACATATGAAGTAGGTCCAATAAGTAAGTTTTCCTTACAAGTTTCGGTAACTTTAGAATCAAAAATGGAAGAGTCTGCCAAGCCTGAACTCCCAGAAGTGAACGTTAAGACACTATTGTCAGCCATTGTTTGTATTCTTCTAAGTTGGCTAAAAAATAGTAATAATAAATTTGATTAAAAATACATGAAACAAAATGATCATTGGGCAAACAAGTGTTAGAGGTTCTAGTATTAGATTTATAAAAAGCGTCATCATCCATTTTTCTTAATATTGAACCAAAGAAAATCACTCAACTTCTCTGAGCCTTAGTTTCCTCTTCTATAAAATAAAGACACTAATTCAGGCTCAGTAGAATATAGTAAAAATAACAATCGAAAGTACTCAAAACATTACCTAACACGTGAGCACTCTAAAGGTACTCAAATACTATTCTATCTTCCACTTCCCTATATCTAGCCCTCAGCCAACTTATTTTCTCTTGTTATATTGATTTATAATACTAACATCCCAAAATAATCTCAGTCAAAAACTGAATCCATTCTTATTCTATTCTTTACCTTATTCACCCTCTTTGAAATTCCTATCAATCCCATCTCAATATCCCTGGAACTTGGTCCCTCCTCTTAAGGTCCAGTGCCACCATGGCCACCTATCCAAATAGAACAGCTTCAAACAACTTTCTCTAACAAGTTTCTTGTGACGTCACTGTCTACATAAATTTCAGGGGTATGATCCTAAAAACAAATGTGACCACATCACTTCCTTGCTGAGAACTTCCACAAGGCACTCCTCCCTATATGATCAAGTCCAAATTCGCCACGCAGTATACAGTTTGGTCCTAGCCTAGCTGACTAGATTATTTGGCCTCATCTTCTATAATTCCCCCAGTTTACGTATGCTCCAGCCACGCTTTTCTCAGCATTTCTGAAACAGAGATCACAATTTACTCCACACCTACTTGCATTTAATAGTGCTCAATTCTCCACCTATAATGTCTTTCAACTCCTAAACCACCCCTCTTGACTCATCCTCTGTGGGTTTCTTTGAACCTCTCATGTACAATTGTACTGTTCCCTTATCTGTATTTTCATATTACCTTACAAGTGTCTCTCCTCTAACAAAAATTAACACAGCAATTATGTATGGGTTAGTACCCATATGACTCTGAACTACAAAAAAAAAAATTTTTTTTTAGATTTCCAGGTTTTGAGAATTGAAAAGTTGGGCAAGCAGGGGAAAAAAAGGAAAAGTTGAAGAGAGTTTCATAAATTCAAATGGGGGTGTTATGTAAATTTATTATCTTGAAGTAAATTTCCAGAACATTATCTGGAGATACATGTCTGATCTTTCCTCCTTTTTCAGATAAATAAAATACACAAGTATCTCCCACCAGATTCTTAGCAAAGTGAAAGTTTAAGTAAACTGTAAGTTTACTTATGTTGAGAAACAGCGAGGTATCATTAGCATCATTTCTGGATAGTGTACTAAATAGCGTGAAGACATGGTACACTAATGGCACGAGTCCTAAGCACAATTGTTAGGTGCACATTTCTAAGGCCAGACAACTCAATTTCCTGTCTCAGCTCTGCACTTAATAGATTAAGCAACAGTTTTCACATTAGTGAAAAAGACAATAGAACCCAAATCAAGCTGTGATGAAAACTGAACACGATGTCTTAAAACGAGTGACAATTATTAATTATAATATTCACAATGTGGATATTTCTTACAGTTTTAACCAAACATCCATGTCCATTGTTATTCTGAGGCTCTCGAAAGGAGTGCTCCAATAGTTGTTAATGTCTTTATTTAGAATCCATGATAAATTCTATTTAGCCCTTATTTTTAAGTTTCTAACACTTCACTGTTTTTGAGGGGGGGGGGCAGGGAAGGCTCTAAAGAGACTTTTATTCAGTCACTTTTTTAAAAAGTCAAGTGGTGAACTAACCTGCTTTAAGAACATTCTTAAGGAACTTCTGACTAAATACACTAACTATAACACAGGCCTCTTCCCATCACAGATAAATCTGTCATTTAAATAAATAATTACTTTTGGTTTCTTTTTAGTTTTTTTAGGGAAGTCTTTCAGGGTGGAGAAGCTAAACGCAATATTGGATATGTTGGTGGTGTTATTAACAACAGTAACAATGTTGGTAACATTACAGAACACGATTAATGACTAATCTATATAACCCTTAATATGTGGCCGATGTTATTCTAAACTCTTTGCTTGTATGTATTTAATTTCTGCAGCAATCCTAAGAGGCAGGTACTATTATTGTGTCCAGCTGATAAACCTAGAACAAAGAGGTTAAGTCACTTGCCCCAAGTCACAGTTTCTGGAAAACCGGGATTCAAATCCGAACTGATCCAGAGGCTGCGCTTTTATCCACTAAGCCATACCTAATCTGTACAGAAGAGGAAGGGCTGGCGTTTTATGTAAAAACTAAACTGCCCACAGAGAAGACGCCAAGAAAAATCCTGGAGGGAAACCACTACGTCCTCCGAGATAAGCCCACAAAGGGTGTAGCGGCCGGTCCCCAGAGCCACAGAGGACAGTGCGGTTTCCCAAGCCTCCTTTCCCAACTCCCACCCTTCACTCAGGGACTCTTCCAGAAAAATAATCTAACCAGGTGAGCGATGAAGATCCACAGGAACCTAGTGGACTTCGGGCTCCCACTCCGCGTCACGGCCCAGGTGCTGGAAGTGCTGTGGGGCAGTTCCCAGGGCCGAGACGTCTGGGCCCCGGGGCTCCGGATTTCGCGGTCACCGGGGACGTTTGCAAAGGACCCCACGGTTCCCGGGGCCCTAGCCCACTCCCACCTCCCCCACCCGTACCCACAGTGTCCTCACCACTCTCAAAAACGCCCTGGAAGGCCACCTCTTCAAGCCCCGATTCCTCTAACTGTTACCGCCATTCCTCACCGGAGGCGGCCCCAAGCAATTCAAAAAGTGAGCCTCTCTCTAAAAGTCATGCCGATTGGCGCGTGATGTAAACCTCCTTCCCATAAGTTGGAGTCTCCAGAGAGGCGGTGCTTAGTCCCTGCTTTCCGCCCACTGATTGGTTGTGCGTATGTTTCAAATGCACCCAACGGCTCGGACGTAGAAACGTCAGGAGGTTGTAGAAGAGTGCCCCGTTGTGGCCAGGAGGGGGCGGTGGTTTCTCCAGGGCTTACCCTGTGAGAGTAGCAGGTGTGTCTGTGGCTACCGCTTGTTTGCTCAGTAAACATCTCGTTTCCTAGGGAAAGTTTGAACGGATTCGCCTCTCTCCCACCTTTGTTATTTTTTTAAGCGCCACCAAATCCTCTAAACAAAATCAGTGCCTCCATGATGATTTTTTCCCCCAATTGCTGAGAGCGCTAAGATTTTTCCGCCGGAACGCTTTCTGTTTTAGCCATTGGGCTTAAAGGTGTTGTAGCAGAGCCGAGGACCAGATAACTCGGGGGCTCTGCAGACAGTTTAAATCAGTAGTTCGCTTATTTAAATCTGGTATGGAAAGCACAGTACTCTGGTCTAGGGAATTTCGTGGATGATTAAAATGAGTTCTTAGTATTTCTCGGACTTTTTTTATTATTATAAGCTTGCATTTGAATAAATGTAAAAATATGTCAGGAGATTCCAGAATTTCCTGGAGACAAAGTAAATTGCTTCCGGATGTCCTCCGCCGTCCCGTTTCCCCCCCCGCCCCCCGCCCACCGCGCCTCCGCTGTGTGATCTTTTGTAACTTTCCTCTAAAGTCTAGCCAAGAGTTTATAGTCTTTCCTGTAATGACTTTTGTTATTATGATACAATCTTTCTTCTTTCTCTAAAAATAATACCCTATATAATTACAATCGCTTAAGAAAAGTACGCCTCCCCCAGGTGAGTTTGCCTACTTCCCACCTAATCGGCTGATTTGCCTGAGGGATAAAAGAGGAATCTAGCCAGAACCTTAAATCCCATTAAGAGAGGCAAAACTTGGACTTTGAAATGGAATTCCTCTGAACATCTCAGGTCGTGGGGGTTTACAATTTTTTCTAACTTTGTCCAGCCACCTTAAAATGCCTGAAAAAGTTCCTAACGCAATATGCAAAATGAGTGAAGCAGTCTGGTAATTATTGATTTCCCTGTTTGTAATTGAAGAATATTTGCAGTCAGCCATTCATTATAGTGCTGTGATAACCGTTAGGGCAAAAGAAAAGAAAGAGTGGTTGAAATCTCACTTTGGAATGTGCTTGCATACTAAACTAGGGTGTGCCTGGCATTCCAAATACTCTCCTCTCGGAAAATATATTACCCTAGTGAGGAGAGCAGCCCATTTGTCCTGTTAAACAGATTTTAAAATTGAATTATTCCTTTGGATTACTGAGATTATTCCTTTGAAGAATCAATTTATGCACCTCTGTTCTAACTGAGTGACACTCTGGGTGGTCTTCCCTGAATTCCTTTCACACTTGCTCCTCTTCCAGTTTATTCGCTTCTTTTTATTCATAGTTCCTTTCTTTCCCTTTCTCCCTCCCCATTCTATCTCCATCTTATTTTTTGAATCTGTTCTCCTTCAGAGCAGTGGAAGATGAGAAGTTGGGAAAGTTAGTTTTGGGTTATGGACTACCTTTCTCCACCCAACCTCATTCACAGGTGTGCATGCTGTCCATGCAATCACTCTTCAAATCAGCATGAACAAGATTTCTCACACTTTTCTAGTTAGTACAGATCTACTAATAAGAACTAGTATATCTGAAAAATTATTAAATTTGATGCAACAAATCAAATAGATCAGCTGGTTAGTGTCATCCAGGTAAGCCACGGTTGCAGGGTTGGTTTCCCAGTCAAGGCACACACAAGAATCAACCAATGAATACATAAATAAGTGGAGCAACAAATCAATGTTCCTCTCTCTCTCCCACTTCCTCTCTCTCTCTCTAAATTAATAAAAATAAATAAATAAATTTAAATGTCTCTTCATAGGATTAAATGTTTAACTGGAACTAAATATTAACACTATGTCACATAGATCTCAAATTATTTTTCTCTATTACCATCCTTAACCCCTCAAGGCATTTATGAGATACATTTATGAGATATATATAATGCCACATTATGCACAGTTACAAAGATTCAGTCCCTCTAAGAACTTATCACTGGAGATTTTTGTTTCAAAATGTTTAATGAATAGTCATGGAATTCTGTTCTATCTTGAAATTATTAACATGTTCCAATTAAAATGTCATATTTCCAAGTTGTTTATAACACAGCATGTTCTAACCTGTCATCTCTGCCTGAAAAACAAGTTTTAGAAATTATAACCACTTTGAGCCATAAAAAGCTACTTTATACACCCCAATAGCCAGTAATTATGATATGAGCCATTGCCTTATTCATATGAATCAAAAGGCTATAAATCACTTGACATAGATTTGCAAAGCTGTACAGATTTGTCACTTAAAATTTTTCAGAAATAGAATTAGCTTTCCTTGATGGAGCAAGAGGTTTCCAAATATGACGAGACCATTATTTCAAATTACATAATCTTATTAGTAAAATTTTAGATGTAGAAAAAGAAATCTTAGTTCATTAGTCTCATTCTTTTATTTTACAGATGAATTTTACCAAGGCTAGCAATAGAGTTATAGTCCTTTACCAAGGTCGAGTAACTAGTTAGTGAGAAAACCAAGATAAAAGTTTTATTTCCATTAATCTATTCTTTTTTATTATAGATATATTTATATTTTACATTTTACAATAACATTTATTCATAATGCTTATATTTTTTACCTTTGAAAATATTAAAATGATTTCAGTTCCATAAGAGACCTGTTGGTCTGGTTCACAAATGTATCTCCAGCACCTAGCAATAGTCCCTGGTACATAGTACGTTCTCAAAAGTTCCATGAATAACATTGCAATTAATCTGCAAGAATACATATCTCCTTCTAAGCCATTCTCCAACCTGCATTCAGAGCAACATTATGCAAATCCAAACTCATCATATCATCATCCACATGGTCTGACCTCTACCTGCATTTCCAGCTTCATCTTACACCATGCTCACTCTCTTTCTCTTGAGTTCTCTACCTGCCTTGTCAAGGATTTTTGCACCTGCTCTTCTCTCTACCAATCCCTCTGATCCCCGTTTGTTTTTTTTTAACCTAGAGTAGATAACTTCTATTCATCTTTTAGCATTTGCTCAGTCACCACTCCTGGAAATGCCTTCCCTAACCAACCACACTGTCAGAATTCCCACCCCACAGGCCCTAGCACCAGGAGTGTTCCTTTTGTAGTACTTATCAAAGGTGTGATTATTGGGTTAATGTTTGTCTACTCCACTATCTCAGCTACTTGAAAGTAGGAAAAACATCTTTTTAGCCACCATTTCATCCACAGAGCCTAGCACATAGAAAGTACTTGATTATTCACAAGTATTTGTTGGAATACAAGTGAATAAATGAATGAATGAATAAAAATTTTCATTATAATATCACTGGTGTTTTTTCCAATGACACTAAAGAAAATTTCTAATATTTTTTCTTTCTAACCCATTTATATGACTTTTTCAAGAAAAAAATGGCATATTTCCAATATATGTACAAGGATAAAATAATTCCATCTTAGACATTTGCATAAATTACCCAAAAATTGAATGATTCTTGTATCACAGCTAATCAAGCTATGAGTGAAAGAGAGTTACTGCCAATGGTACTAAACAGATTCAGTTAAAACTTGCCACTGTTTATGAACATAAGAAATTATCTATATAAAAAATTCAGTTTTTCTTACCATCTACACTTTGATACATTATTCACTGACACTTGTAGTTTGCTTCTTCCACACTATCAGCTGACTTGCAAATATCTGGGATATCCCAGAGTTACACTGTCTGCCAGTCTAGTTTTGACAGCAATTCCATCTTTGTAGAGTAGCATTTCCTACTAGAACAATTTGAATACTTTGCTGCTGTTTAAATGAATGGGAAAATGTAATCGCTAGTGCAGTTGATATAAAAATTGGAACACAGGTCACCAAAAAAATATGGATAATTGACCTCAATTGCACGCCCATTTGACAAAAGCAGATTCACTATAGGTTTAATAAGGAAGGAAAAATCACATGTAAGAAATAGCAGAAATGCATTCAGGAAGATATTTTGAAGGTGAGATGTAGTGTTGCATATGATGTTCAATTGCATAGAGCAATTCTATATAAATCATGTACATAGAAAACAATTATCTGTAAAGAAATATACAAGATGTTCCTAATGTTTCTATCTGTACAGTAATATTTGAGGAGATTATTTCTCCCTCTCCTTTATATTTTTGGAGTACTTCTCAAATTTTCTATCATGAGTGTTTTGGTGGACAATTGTTGTGTTCCTGGCTATTGAACATTTAACACTTCCTTCCTAATAATAGTGTTATTTCACTTTTGAGGAATCCATCATTGAATATGGTTTTAGTGAGAGGTAATGCTTCCATGTTACCATAGATCTGAATGGGGCCACATCTTCCTCCTATGATTAAAGCTCAGCTAATCAGTTGCTCTCTCATAGGACTTTGAATTTTTAGCATGTGCTAAAGATGTGGGAAGGGGCCAGGATCATATGCATTACCATAACAACTATAGTGTGAAGACCAGAGAGATTCTTTGGGTCCAATAATCATTGCTGGTGTTTCCACTGCCCATGCCTCTGGAGCTCTTTAGCTCCTGCCCATTTGCCAAGGCTGAGCTTCAAACCGATTCCATGAATTTGTAAAATAAATTATTTTCCTTAAAGATAGAATTGGTTTATATCGCTGATGACCAAGTGTAGGGTACGTGGAGGCAGTCTGGCTCCCTCACCTAAATGCGTGGGTAACTGGAGGGAGCAGTTCCTCACAACCTTGAAGGAGTCTGATAAAGCAGTGTTCCCACAGCTTTGAGCCTGGGTCTCATGGCCTGTACTAAACTGCCCTGTAGCCTTGAGCA